TATTGCTGGCACTGTCATCCGACAGTTGCTTGTCTTCGTCCTCATCTTCAGGTGTGGAGTCGTTGGCATTTGTCGTCTCAAAAGACGTCTGGCTGTTCAGGGAATCGCGTAGGTTAGTCGAAGTTCGCGATGTAGTACGCGACAGTGTGCTACCGTGCGACTTCTTGGACTTAATCTGCACAGTCTTTGGTGACTCTTTTGGGCGGACGATGCGCGCTGGACTGGCCTTGGGTGTCTGGTCACGGCTCTGGCCACTGGAAAAATAGTAGTCGATGATGTCTCCAGATGTGCTTGCGTCGCGCGAGCTGGCAGTCGTCGCTTTTGATTCGTACGAAGTGGCTGTAGATGTCATCTGGAAAGGTGGTGCCAAGCGCGGGCGTGTTGCAGGCTGCGCTTGAGGTGGTAGTGGTGCACCATGAGAGCGTGTCGCTGCCGCAGCAATCTGCTTCGGCTGGGGCCTCTCGTGACGAACAGGAATATTAAGAAACAACTCTGATCCACGTCCTACTGAACGCTGGTTGACGGCGACGTTTGGTGCTCGTCTAGAGGGCTGTAGAGCGCGGATCGGAGGAATGGGTACTGGAGGCGTGGGCAACAGCATCGAGGATCTCCGGTGTGGTGAGGTCTCGTCTTCTTCGAAGACAGTCTCCTGAGTCATCGTACTGACAGGCCGAAAGGCTGTGCTGGTATGCGATTGTGTCGCGAGAGGTGTCTTTTGATGCGTTGTGCCGACTTTTGGCGCCTTCTGAGGTACCACGGGCTTGCCATCCAGCTCGGCACTGATGGCCAGACCTATCTGATCCAGTGGCAACGAGGAATTTGAGGAACTGTTGGAAGTTCCCACCCCGAGTCGTTGCGCTGGACGTGCTGGGCCTTGCTTGCTGCCCCTGCGAAAAGCTCGCGGAGGCGCCAAGGGGAACTGCTTCGGTAGTTCAGTACCGTGTCCTACTTGGACATAGTGCGAGAATCTTGTCGAAAGCTGCTTTCCTCGCTGAGTCTCTCCCTTTTCGTCTCCATCGAAGACCACCCGTCGCTCCTTTCGTCTGCGCAAGCACACACTGAGCGCCATCAGTCCAATCGCCATAACAAAAGCTGCTACCGCAGCTACTGAAAGTCCAGCAATCTGCGCAGGTGTCATTCTGGGAGGGTTGTTTGAAGCCGTGGTTGCTGCGACAGGCGAAGACGTTGCCGACGAAGTAGCGGACGGGAGTGAAGGAACAGTATCGGCAAAAGCGGTCTGGGTAGAGCTGCTTTGAATTCGTGAAGAGGATGTGATGATGGGTGTGCTCGTTGTGGTTGGTAGACTGATAGTTGGCGACATGGTGCGAGTTGCGCTCGTCACGACGTACGTGAGAACACTCTTGGTCGGCATGACCGCATCCTTTTGCCCCAGACAAATCCCGTAGGTTGAACTGAGTGATGCCTGGGCATCTTCCATGGGGCACGATAGGTAGATGCAGCCGAGAGCCATTTCGCCAAGTGACTCTCCAGCATTACTATAACGAGAACAGAGGCATTGAAGACTCTCTTGACCAGAACATGCTACGGGAAATCTTTCGTCCAGCGAAGACCGTAAACATGATTGTGCGCATTGGGGTACATTCTGTTGAAGCGCCTGCGGAAGGGAGTTTGGTGTGGAAGCGACAGTGGGAGCTGCCTGCATCGGCGAAGCTAGTATTATAAAGACTGATGAGATCCATAGCCTTTTGAAGTGGCTCATAAGCATAGTTGTACAGTATCTGTACCAGTGTTAGCTACATCTTCGAGGATGGACGTATGACAATAGTTTACTCACTAAGAGGTCTAGACATGAGGGAAGATGCGGAGAAGCGCTGAACCTGCAGCGGAATGAACAAGGAAATTGAAGGAGAGAAACTCAAGGAAATTCGTAACGCGTCCACCGTCTCATGAAGTTTTGTTGATGTATACAAAAGCCATTAAGTGGGGGATGGTAGGCTGACAATATGTATTGGCATCGTTGCCAGCCGCCATGTCAGAGCCCTGCGTGAGCAACCGCTGAGGCGCCACGATAGCGGCTTCTCGAGGTCATTGACACCCATGGTAAGCGCTCGCAGAATTGAGAGAGGCTGATTGACTGGAGAGTCGTCGCTTCGAAGATGTGGTGGTGCAAAGATGCTATTCTAGGCGCTCGCGTCGTGCGCTAAGCGCTGGGGTTCGGGCTAGTCTACCACGTCAGCCAGTCGTTGCACGGCGCCTGTATAAACTTCGAGCAGAACACAAAAGCGAGCCTTGGCCTACGTGCATTACGTGGGACGAAAACACGCTGCAGCCCAGCGTTAGCGACTACCCGAGAACCGCGTCATTGGTGTTCGTTCGCGTTGGTGACGCGAAACTCGACTGACGAGGTCATGGGCTATTCTGGGCCGTCATCTGGCTGTGCGCGTCTGTTTGGCATTATCGTCTGTCTTCGTGACAACGGCTGCGACATCTGGTGCTACCTCTCGAGAGAACCATATTCGTCCCAGTTTCTAATTGAAGACTGGAGTAACGCGCAAAAGATGACAATTTCAGTCTTAGCGCAAATCGCACACTGATCAAACCGATACCATGGCAAGTCAGCAATTACAAAGGCGATCGACAACAGCTCGTCAGCTACCCGTTGTCACTGCAGTATGCATGACTTGTAACGGCGCCCAGAGGCCGAGATAACAGAGCTTCAAGAAGAGAAATATGGATGTTCTTCGGCACCCACCCAAATCGGTTACCAGATGGCTAAATACGCAGGAACGTCGTCGCTATGTGGAGACGTCACCACCAAAGCGGATAACTTGGTCTGCATGTTGCGTAGGCATGTGGAGCTCACGGAGAGAAGAGGTGGAATACAGCCATACTCCGTCATGGGACGCAGATCTTGACGATAACAGGAGATGAAGTTATCGAACAGGAGAACGCGAATATAACCACGATATGGTATCTGCAAAGGCATAGAACTATAAGGTTCGGCATTAGACAAGCTGGGGGAATGCTCGTGCTTCGAGCCATGGACGAGGTGTAAAAGTAGTCACCTGTTCGCGTGGCCAGAGCTGTCCCCCTATTCAGCGGCATTCACGGGCGGTCATTGCTCCCACGTGTCGTTCGTGGGTCCTCCCGTCAGTCTGACTCGGGACTGTGCGCAAGAGTTGAGACAGAAGTTGAGACTGTTGATGCATCATCCCAGGAGAAGGGTACTGGAACAGCACAACGCTGGTAAGAAGTATAGTATTCAGACAGAGTGTCTTCGGCACGGCTAAGCCCCGGCTGCCAGTCAGATTAGTGATTTATAGTTTCGTCAAGGACGGGACGAAGATGGCAGTCGCATGACCGCGACACGTTCATGTTCATAAGTGCTGAGTACCCCAGAAGAGCATAAATCCAGCATCCACCCAGACCTGAGGCGACATGACGAGCGAGCAGCCGAGTGCAACGGCAGAAAGGCGAGGCGAGGATACTTGGGAAAATCCAAAAATCTGATTGCGCAATGATTGGCCGAAGCGCGCGAGTCGGGGAGATGAAGCGATGCGACGGACGTTTGGCGAATGTTCGTGTGTTGCGGGGCTAGCTGTAAGGGGACTAGAGTCAATAGCCCCCCGGTCAGTGCTTGGCCGAGGAGCGACTCGAGTGGCTGGCAGAAGCGTGATACCAAACCTGTCAGCGCACCACCACGGGCTGCTGATGGAGGTAGAACAGCAGCAGATAGAGCGACGCAGTGCGAGGCCGGGACCTTGCCTGCAGATGCAAGACAGGACGGGTGAGAAGGAAAGGCCAAACGCGACGGCGTTTCAAGGCACCGTGCCTGGATGCTTTGCCGGCTCCAAGCGTCAAGGCCCTCTTCTTTCGATGGGTCCAAAATTTCCATAAACCTTCTAGAAGCGCAGCTAGTCAGACTCAGGCGGGACGGGATTTACGGGAGTCGCATCTGGCGGTGTTGTCGACAGCGCTTCCATGTCAAACCGCGTAGTGCAACAGAGGCTGAGGAGGCGACACCAAGGCCTGCAGCAAGAGCGGGCGAGCTGCAGCGAATAGAGCTGCTGTGCCCGGCGGCCAATGGCAAAGGCCAACTTACGGTGAGCGAACAGGCGAACAGGTGCCAGACGGGCGGACGAACAGGCGGGCACGTCTGATGGGTGTGGTGTTGGGTCGGCAGTGGGTGGGCTCAGGCAGGTCTCCACGTCAAGACAGCGGACAGCGCAGAAGCAGCGAAGATGGCGAACCAGCCAGGGGGAATCGGCAAAAGGTGTTAGTGATGCTAGCACCTAGTCGTTGCAAGATGGGCATCGGAGGGTTTGGTGGTAGAGTGGCCCGGGAGCAGCTGCAGGCTAGCTAGGCCTGGCGATGCTTCCTTTCGCGGGCAAGCGCCTCTCCTTTCGCGGCCTTCATCAGCCTTCTTCATACTCGCCTCTTGTTCTTTGCTTCTCCCAAACGTCAATCCACGGCTGTACTTCGTCGCAATCGCTGCAGTCCCATTCCCGGCCCTTTTCTGCGCCTCTTGTTTCTTGCTGCGACACGTCGGCGAGCGCGCAGCCAACGTTGCTTCCCCCAGCCGATCCACCCCCGAGCCGACCGTGCAGCAACCCTGAGACCTCGGAGCGAAGCGAGCCTCGTCGTCGCTCATACGCCAGCCATCCCTTCACCTTCGTCCTCCACCCTCATCCCTTCCACATCCGACCGCTGCCCACCGCGCCTTCCATTGGGGGTCGTCTTGTAATACCAGGTGAGCCTCCCTTTGCTTCTCGACGCCCCGTCGCGCCTGCCGCTGCCTGAGCTCTGGGACCCAAGCGCCACCGTCGAGCGCGAGCGAGCAAACATCGGCATCGCCTGCCCTCGCCTCGCCCACGGCTAAAGTCGCCAACCCTTTGCACTCGCACGACATCCACGCCGACGCTGTCTGCCATTGAGCTCCTATTGACTCTGCCCTCCAGATTTCCGCATTGGCCGGCCTCGACGGAACATCACCCACCCTACCCTAATAATCACCCCGGACACCGTCCCCTACCGCCATCATGGGTTGCGGAATGAGCACAGAGGAGAAGGAGGGCAAGCAGAGGAACGAGGAGATTGAGAACCAGCTCAAGCGCGACAAGATGATGCAGCGCAACGAGATCAAGATGCTGCTCCTCGGTCAGTATTGCGACGCCCGCCACGTCGCCAGCCTCTAACAGCGCGCAGGAGCCGGAGAGTCCGGAAAGTCGACTATCCTCAAGCAGATGAAGCTCATCCACGAGGGCGGATACTCACGCGACGAGCGCGAGTCGTTCAAGGAGATCATCTTCAGCAACACCGTCCAGTCGATGCGCGTCATCCTCGAGGCCATGGAGTCGCTCGAGCTGCCGCTCGACGACCAACGTGCCGAATACCACGTCCAGACCATCTTCATGCAGCCGGCACAGATTGAGGGCGACAGCCTGCCCCCGGAGGTTGGAAACGCCATCTCAGTCCTGTGGAAGGACGCCGGTGTCCAACAGTGCTTCCAGCGCTCGCGCGAGTACCAGCTCAACGACTCCGCTAAATAGTGAGCATGCTCCGTGCAATGAAAGCGCAACACCGCTAACCGCTGCAGCTACTTCGACTCCATCGACCGTATCGCTGCGCCCGACTACATTCCCAACGACCAGGACGTGCTCCGATCGCGTGTCAAGACGACTGGTATCACCGAAACTACCTTCATCATCGGCGATCTTACTTACCGCATGTTCGATGTCGGTGGTCAACGATCCGAGCGTAAGAAGTGGATACACTGCTTCGAGAACGTCACCACCATCCTCTTCCTCGTCGCCATCTCCGAATACGACCAGCTGCTGTTCGAGGACGAGACCGTCAACCGTATGCAAGAAGCCCTCACATTGTTCGACTCCATCTGCAACTCGCGGTGGTTCGTCAAGACATCCATCATCCTGTTCCTCAACAAGATCGATCGCTTCAAGGAGAAGCTGCCCGTCAGCCCCATGAAGAACTACTTTCCCGATTACGAGGGCGGCCCAGACTACGCTGCTGCGTGTGACTACATCCTGAACCGCTTCGTTTCGCTCAACCAACACGAGACAAAGCAAATTTACACGCATTTCACATGTGCCACAGACACTATGCAGATCCGCTTCGTCATGGCTGCAGTAAACGGTACGACTACCCAACACTACTATCCTTGTATTACGCTGACATGTTCTAGACATTATTATTCAGGAGAACCTGCGGTTGTGCGGTTTGATATAAGTGCAATGGCGGCGGGATAAACGAACATCTTCCAACTGATCTCGAATCACGGGTTGCATGCCTCATGTCCTCCACAGGCGTTTGTGGACATTGCTTTGCATGTTTGCGCTTCTTTTGTCGAGAAGTGGTTTTGCTCAGGCCCGGGTCGCTACCTCTTTGATACCCTGCGGGCGGGCTGAAGAGACCATGGAACACACCACCAGCGAAGCGTCTTTTCATCTTCTTATTTCTTTTAACGTTTTCTTGGGCCCAACGAGGGATTGGGAATTGGAACGTGTCCTTTGATATAAAGAATCTTCCAACGGCGTGCGAAGCGTGTGTACAGCGGCTGCCAAAAGAAGCTTTTTTCCTAATACTACCTGTTCTTCCAAGTCTATTTTCACCGCAGCATGCACTTTTTTGGCCTTCGTATGTATACAGCATGTGTGAGATATGTAGTGAAATGATGAATTACTTTTAACCTCCCAATCATCTCCCCTCATCAGATCATATTACAAATCGTCTCGTCCCAGTCGCAACGCCTAAAGCCATGCCAATCAATTCGGTCCCAACCAACAAGTCAATGCTCGCACACCTTGCATAATCGGACCCCAGAGTGCGGGAGCAACCTTGTCTCCGGAAGAAAGAAACAAAGGGACAATTTCGCGGAACAATTACGGGAACAAAGCAAGGGAACCAGCATCGTGCACACCCACACAAACATGGACAACTTTCTGGCAAACCCGACACTCTGGTTTCCCCCCCTTCTCCATAGCAAGTCAGTATTCGGGCCGGCCAAGACGAACTGGTTCGGCTGCTGTTGCCCTTGGAATACGGGCACAGATCGATCTACGATGTGACGCCATGCGATACGATGTGATGCGATAGTCTCATTACGGCTATTGTCACGATAGTGTGATAGTGGACATGCGCGGTCAGTCTCACAATGAGCAAGGGTCACGGCCCTCATCCAGTGCTTTTGTTGGTTCGCTACCTGATGTTTGGGTTCGGAATTTACATGACGCATCTTCTAGCTTGTGGGTTTTGATTCGGGACCCGTGAGCATGGTAAATGTGATGTTGTTTGTGCGGGCTGATTATCAAGGTGAAAGTGCGGAAGGGAATGCGGTTAGCGCGGATGTGGCGCCATCCCAGAGGGTTGGTCGTGACTTCCCTTCTCCACCACATCGTCAATTCGACATCTACCCCTCAATGATTTGCAATGCTCACTACATGTGAAAATCTGTATCGAATTCACCACCAGGGTTCATATCTACTCCATACACCGAGATCTCGGATCGTGCGATATTTGCAGGTAGCGGAACGCGACTGGCGGTGCTTAGTCAATGTTTGACTGGAGGCTGCATACACGTCGCTGTCTAGGGAAGCTGCTTCTAGCTGTGGGTATATCTGCATATGCTATTGCCTAGTCGAAAGTCGCAAGGCGGTGAGTGTTGTCTCGGCCGCGAATCTGCATCAGTCAATGCGGGCACGCATACATACACGGTGTTTGTCTCAGCACTCGCATTGGACTCCAATGACTCCGCGTAGATGCTTCTGAGTTGGCACTCTCCCTGCCTTACTGTCTGGACATCTGGCATCTTCTTGCATACCGTTAGCGGATGAGGTTCCGTCACGCAGCTACGTGGTTGGAATTGTGAGCGGGTAGCGGTGGGTGCGCTGATGTTGTTTGCTGCAGAAATGGTAGTCATCCTGCAGTACCATCTATACCGGATATGAGATGGCCAGCTGCTTGAGGCATAGGTATTTATACTGCCTCTCTCCCACTCAAGTCTTTATCATATCTCATTTCCTATGTCTTGCATCTTGCTTTGTATATCTCCCTCTCTTTCAATCATGTACTTTCTCTCTGATCGAGAATATATACGTCTCATCATATTCTCTTCCGGTCCTATTTCTGGCTCATGCCTCCTCGTAGTACACTTTGTCTGCTGGCCAGAGGACTCGTACTCTGATCTTGACACATACTGTTCGCCCAGATCAGCCATCCCAGCCTACTATTACTGAGCATCCAAAACCTCTTATATACACCCGGACCGTTGCACTCTGTTCACTTATATCCCGTCTCCTTTGTTCTTATATAGCGCACCTCCGGAGGCGCAGAGGGCTGCCATGGGGCCTGGAATATGACCCTTGCATTCGCCGCTGCTTCTATCGCACCTGGACCTTACCAATGGCCCGCTGCCTCCGGCACCCATAGGATCGTATCCAACCTTGGGCCTGAATTCCTCGATGTCCTCAGGAAGTCGACATGCCTGATACGGAGCAGAGATATGACACCCGACATGGCTGCTCTTCAAGATATGCGGGTACTTCCATGACTTCCATTACTCACTTAAAGTTGGAGAGACGAAAAAGATGGACGAGCGCCTTTGGACGAAAGAGAGAGTAATACTATTCTGCGCCGAGCTAGCCGTTGCTGTCATAAAGCATTACGTCGACGTATCGATCCCAGCCTTCCACTCTCCAGGTCATGGACCTTCGACAGACTCTATAGCCACGGCGTCTTACGCGGAACTATCTCAGAGGCAGGTTCGTCGCCTATTGCGCTCAGTTCCTGGCCATCCGCGGCTCTATCGACTGCGCCACTCCTATCGTCTCTGCCATCCCCATCGTTTGCGGTTCCACAGGCGTGCTCAGTCCAACAGTTTCGCCACCTCGAACGCACCAATGTAGCTTTGTATATACACCACTCCTGAGCCTTTCGGCACATTCTGTGTTATTTCGAAATCCTTCAGAACTATATATAGCGCACACCCATCTGCATGCACTTATGCTGCTACCAATGTTTGCGCAATAGTCGTTCGACTCATACGCGAGGAGATACTCTACGAAAGAGAGAAGCATCGCATCTCCAAGAACCTCCGCACTAGTCTTCAGCCCACTCGAAGGATTGTCCTTCGACATCACGCCTGTGGAGCCTGGATCCACTCCGAGATATCCCATGCGCCTACGAACACCCATACCTTCTGTACTACTGATGTCAGGACCTTCCTGATCATTCCCAGGCTGTCACAGGCCAATCCAAGCAACCGTAGGAGGCATGGGGTAATCTGGGGAAGAGGCAGAAGTCTACTGTCATGGATGACTGGCTGCTATGCCTCGCTCGACACGTCAAAGAGTCTACCAGAGACACTGCTGCTCTTCGAAAGGTTTTATATAAAGTCTGGATCATTCCAGTAGGCGTTCAACGTACGAACTGCCTACGGTTTCATCCCGTGTGGTCTCTTCTATTTCTGCTTACGGCATTCGGCACGAGTTATGTGTCCTATTCCACTAAGCCGTCGGCTGAGCCAAGCGCTGGATAAACCTGCGGCCTTCCCCCAGTACCGACCTTACTGGGTGCCATCCAAGCTCTCCGACAACACTGACGACACTCTGGTACGTAGTCTGCCAACATAGCTAATACGTAGTAGGCTAACAGCCACAAGGTCTTACTATCTGCGTTCCCTGAATCTGTACCGCTTCACCGTGAAGGAAGCCCTTCGTATTGATATATATATATACACAATCAGATCAGATCCGATGGACGTATTGTCTGGACTGTATCCTCGACACCCAAATTTGGAACCGCCAATAACGAGGACGAAGATAGCATCGACGAGCACTCACATAGTTGACACGCACGCGGGGATAGCTAGCAAGGCGGCTGAACTTCTTGCCATCGAGCGCCTACGCTCTAAGATCCTCCAGAACGGCACTAAGACACTCGGTGAAGAAGCCTACTTGCGCGGGATGGCAAGCAAGCGCATAGAGGTAGGAGAGGCCCCATTGGAGCACATTCGCTTGCCTCTCACAGCCTCTCACGATTTCCTATTTCCGGTACTCCCACGCATGTCCGATCTGCAAAGAGAGAGGAATATATCTATATACACGAGAGCCAACTAGACATTATAGACGTACTCGCTCTGGACACCAAACACTCCGATACTCACGCAGCGGCGCCTGAACCTCTCTCCATACGACACAACTATGCAGATATACCATGCAGGAGAAGAGGGTGGTGGATACGTCGATGCTGTGATGGAACTTGAGAGCGAGGACGAAGTGAGGGGGGCATCACACCAAGCTCAAGGCGGGAAAGTAAGACATTACGATGGCAAGCAGAGCGCTACTTCGATATCATCCCTACCCCGGAGTCATGCCGAGACGAGAATCACGAGTCTATATATACTAGGTATGAAACAAACCGCTTCGGTTTACCCCTACCAATGTTCCCTACGAGGAGCATTGCGATTCGCAGACTACGAGCCACTATGCAGCCGAAGACGCTGAAGACAATGCCATCGCCCAGGAACAGGAAACTAGACGCATGTATGAGGATGAATTTGCCCTCTGCTCTTACGTTATATTCTCTCGTTCGAGAAAGGTCGGCGATGTCGAACCTTTTACCATGTCGCATTCCTCGTTCACAACCGCAACCAATCAGCCTATCGCATCCTCTGGCCCCATCCTCGACGTACCTTACCACTCTTTTCTTTACGAGATAAGAAGGTCAGAAAGACGTATGCAGAGGCCAGCGTCACCTCTTTAGAGACCAGCAACACCCGTTACCGAGCCTTGAGACTAGATCGCGCCTCTCTCAAAGCAACCCCAACCATATATATATCTACATGTGTAGGCTGACCAACTTCAATCCAATGCATCGCAGTGTTGTTACCGTTGCCAAGCCAACTTTCATTACAATGTACTGTCGACGCACTTGACGCCTACTGTTATCGCCTGGAGGCCGTAGTAGCCATCGCTATATATAAACACTCGACGGATACCCTGTCACCTTGTCGTTGTTATGCCTGGCTTGGAGTTTGTATCACTCTAAAACGGCATCTGCAATGCATTATTATGATGGCAAGTTCCTTTTGGCTGGAATACTACTCTACCTGTCGTGCTGTGCCACAGCGCAGCGCAGTACAAGAGCTGCCGCCGAAGCTACGCGAAAACGCATGAGCGACTGTGTACGAGACAACGACGAGATGACGGATTTGATTCTCACGTATATAACCCCCTGTTGAAGAGAGATTATCTCAGAGAGAATGCCGGGCAAAGCGCTAGTAAATCGTCTGGGGAGAGCTACGCATTATCAGCATTTCTAGAAGTCTCATCGAGAGCCAGTGTCAGTAAGTGAGGTGATGACATTGCTTGCTTTCGTCGCCACTCTCAATGCATACGTGCCTTTCAGCGGTGATTTGAGGGGGCTGGCCATCGACATTCGCGTGGACGACATCGCCGGCTACATCCCAGCGAATGGAATTGACGCCTCATCGGAGCGCGTCTCTGCGTATGCCGCGGATCCTTCGAGCTGACGTTATACACGTCATTGTCAAGCTCATTACTGGAGTTCAACACGCTCAAATACACCCACTCTTCGAGTCGAGTAGAACACCTCTCATGACTTTACGTACCGTCAGGGATCGCCTATATATCGATGTTGCCCTTTCCTCGGAAGAAAGCCAAGAAAGTATATATAAATGGAAGAAGATCAAGCCCATAGTTCCGGCATGGCTCTTTGAGACATGTTATTCCGCAAGGTACCGACAAACCCTACCAGAACGTTCGTCTATCCCTAAGTCCTGGAATCGCCTTCAACAATAACATCAACGCCCTGGACGGCAAGCGCACGAATTACCTTGTCTTCAATCTTGCATGCGGAGAGAACGTTCGATTCGATATCGATCTTTTATGATGGTTGCGTAACGAAGGAAGTGGTACACCTTTGCGGCAAAGCCCCCCAGAGCCGGGGAAAGTCCGCGAGATGGACCGACTTATCTCCAGACGACCCGAAAGACAGCGTCAGTAACTTCTCGCCAATCACCCTCGTACTGATGCAGCATTGCGACGAGACCGGCACTCGTGCCACGAGCGGCGAGAGGTGGATGAGACGAGACAGTGCGGGATGCGAAAAAGGCCTGCTACCTGGAGTACCTGAACGAGGCTGCTGCAGTTATATACGGATGACGAGAACAACCCAGGAGAGTCGACACCTGAGACCATGGAATCATGATCCCAGCGCCCTCGACATCATCAGTGGATTATTGTGTCCACGTCCACAAGTCCGACCCCATGAACGATTGAGAGGAGCTCAACCCCCAACTCCACATTCTTCATCACTCGCGACTACGAACACGATGACAGAGCTCGGGAGATGGAACAACTGAAGACCCAAGTTTCAAGTCGTGTACATGTTTTGATCGTGGTCGGCAAGAGGTTCACGCTACATAAGTACACAGATGATTAGAAGAGAGGAAGACATATTAGAGCAGGGTCGGAAAGCCTTCGTGTGCGAAGTATTCCAGAAGAAAATGGTGATTCGTCGACAAATTACGCATCTTCCACATCCGTAAACTAGATTAGTTGGAAGTCAAGAAAGAATAACATGTCGCTGGACGACGATGAAATCAACATGGATTGTTACCACAAGGAGTCTTGCTGTTGACCGATTGTTTGAGCCTGCAATGGTGTCCCTTTGAATATCGATGAGAGAATGCAATTAGTAAATTCCACCACAGCCACAGCCACAGCCACGTCATCAGCCACGGCTAGCGGAACGGATGGGCAGACCAAGAATGTGGAGAGGTGGTATGACGTCGCGTGCGGATCGCGACTGCCGGTACAGTATCCAACAAAAGCCCCACCAACGAGGTCGTTTACCCGTAGTCGACGTGCGTCTTGGAGTTTGGTACAACGTATCTGACGGCATGCAGGGCGCCCAAGGCGCGCGTTGAATTACCGGCAGCCAGAAACTTGACGAATCGAGCCAAGCGACGGGCGTGGTACAAGTCACAGATTCGAGCACAAGCTCCCGGCTGACAACGTAGACAGTATAATTTGTGGTTCCATGCAGTACATCGAAGATGAGATGCTACATGACCCAAGAAAGATCGGAAGAAGTGATGCGCGGGCTGTGCAGGATCCCACTCGTTCACATGTACCCCGCTAAAGGTGGAAGGTGGTCTTTGGGAGTACAGTAGGGTAGTGTTGATGCGGTTAGAGGATTTTGTTACAGGACGGTTCGCGTAGAGCTGCAGGCTCTCCCAAGTAGCCCCATTCAGCCCCAGTGTAAGGGCCCAGCATAGTCCCGGAGCATCTCAATCGAGATAGGTATCCGCGATGTATACGATGTGTTGTTGGCCCGGAAGCCGTCAGCGCGACGCGTTAGTGAGACAGAGGAGACGGCATGAGATATGCGGCATTTGTGACAGGCTTGCGCGCATGTCTATATATACGGCGGCCGGTTGCTCGGATGGCTAGTAGGCGCGGAATGAGGGGTTCCTATCGAGGTAATACGCGCAGGGCTGATTAGGGCTGCTTGCACTGAGTTTTGTTGGTTGCGGCTGCCCTGATGCCTTGCGGTGGGTTTCGGGTGGAGATGGAAGACAGTTCTCGGCTCTGACTATTGGCGGCTGAGTCGCGCGTAGATGCAGCAACTGGCAGCGGGCGGTATTTGCTTTTGGCCGTCTTGTCTTGGGCCATGCATAGAAGTCGAGCATAGTCGTCGATCACACATGGGAGAGGCACATCCAGAGGGCCCAGCCGCAAGTTCCGGCAGGCGCTGCTCCTATCGACGCCGCAAGAGACACATTGCGGGCCTGCCCTCCTTCAGCTGGCTGCGCGTGCACATGTACCGACACTAAGGTATGCGGCGGCCCCCAAGCTTAATTCAATTCACTCTTGACCTGGCCGCTGTCAGCACTCGCAGCGCGTCCTTGATTCTTCTACCCTCGTGATACTCCTGATATTGCATGCTCTGAGCCACGTTCTGCCAACCGCCGGCGCGACGTCAAGCACTCCCTAGGCACTTGGCTACCGCGGTCCGGCCAGCACGTTCCGATTGAACGCGTAGCCACGCCGGCGCCGGGTGCACCTAAACGTAGCCCACCATGCCGCGACCAGCCTTTACCAGCAAACTCTCGCTCCCCCATCGCCTCAAGCAGCAGTCGAGCTACACCAACGGCGCCAATTCTACCCCAACCTCAGTCCCCGCCAGCCGCAACGGCAGCCCCAAACTGCGCGCCATGAACGAGCAGCCCACGCCCGGCCTTGTCCTGAGGGCCAATGTCATCAAAGTGCGCCCGCCCACGCTTCCCCGCGGAGGAGCCCCAGCTAACAGCGACGCAGGGCAGAGACCTCGCTGCAAAGGACCGCAGCGGCACCTCGGACCCCGTGAGTCGTGCCCCGTCTGAACTGCTACCAAACTCCCGCTGACGTGCATGTCTGCAGTACCTCGTCCTCTCCCTCGGCGACGAGAAATTCACCACGCCCACGATAAACAAGCAGCTGAACCCGGAATGGAACGAGACGCTCGAACTGCCCATCGTCGGCGAGCAGAGCCTCCTGCTCGAGGTCGTCTGCTGGGACAAGGACCGCTTTGGGAAGGACTACATGGGCGAGTTTGACGTCATACTCGAGGAGCAGTTCCAGAACGGCCTCACCAAGCAGGAGCCGCAATGGTTCCCGCTGCAGTCGCGGCGCTCCGGCAAGAAGAAGTCTGTCGTCTCCGGCGAGATCCAGATCCAGTTTTCCCTCATCGACCCCCTCAACCTCGCCGCCACGCCCGAGCAGATCCTCCAGAAGTTCTACGCCATCGCTGGACAGACACCGAGCCCCGACGAAGACGACGAAGACCTCCTAGAGCGCGGCGACAGCAACCTCACCGATGCCGAAGACGACGAATCGAGCTCAGACGAGGCCCAGGACGAATCCAAGAAGGCCGAGAAGCGGGAGAAGCGGCGGAAGAAGCTCAAGCTGGCCAGGCTTAGGAGGAAGGTCAAGGGTAAGAAGGCCTACGAATACTCCAGTACGGGAGACATAGCTGGTGTGCTCTTCCTGGAGATCCAGAAGTGCACCGATCTGCCCCCACAACGCAATGGTAAGTCTCCCCAACAGCGCGCTACTGCCTGAACTTACACATGAATAGTGACCAGAACCACCTTCGACATGGACCCCTTCGTCGTAACCTCCCTCGGAAAGAAGACGTACCGTACCAAGACCATCAGCCACAACCTCAACCCCGTCTTCGACGAGAAACTCATCTTCCAAGTCTTACGGCATGAGACCAATTATTCTGTCAACTTCACTGTCATCGACAAGGACAAGTTCTCGGGCAACGACTATGTCGGCACTGTCAACTTCCCAATCGAAAAGGCCGTTTCCACAGCCCCACAGGAAGACCCAGAGACAGGACTCTACAGACTACCGGAGCCATCAGACTCTCCTGGTATCTCTCCCTCTGATTCGGGCAGTTCTAAGAAATCCCGCTTCCGCCTTCCCATCTCTCGTTCTGCTTCAACCAACAGTCTATCTCGTCTAGGCCGGCCGTCTCTGAAGAAGGAAACCTCGACAGGTTCACTATCTGCGCAAGAATCCAACGCGGCTCTGGGTGCTCCGCCAAACGCTGCAGCCGACTCCAACGGAAACCTTGCTGTCGCTGGCGATGTCAATATCAACCCGTCCTCTGTAGATGATGAGGATCTGAAGATGTATACTCTGCCATTGGAGCTGAAGGACAAAGAGCGCTGGGGCAACAAGCACAACTCTACTCTCTACATTCGCGCAAAGTATCTCCCATACAAGGCCCTCCGACAGCAATTTTGGAGAGCTATGCTCAAGCAGTATGACGCCGATGAGAGTGGCCTCTTAGACAAAGTGGAATTGACCACCATGCTTGACACGTTAGGCTCCACCCTGCATGAGTCGACTATCGACAGCTTTTTCGAGCGGTTTGCGGATGCTCACAATGGAGACCTTCTGCTTACGTTCGACGAAGCTGTCATCTGCCTCGAAGACCAGCTCCAGGCCACGGAGGCCAGAGACTCCCGAAAGAACGGTCTCGCATCGGGCACGCAGACTCCCTCGTTAGCATCCGGAATGCTCACACCCATCAACCAGGACAGCTCGACAACATCCATTCCAGTACTTGAAACAAACACACTAGGAAAGGAGGGCGAGGAAGGCGACAACATCCAGATTGATGATCTCGCAGACGAAAAGGGAGAAGAACATGTTATCGAGATCCGTGAATGCCCCATCTGCCATCAACCAAAGTTGAACAAGAGGTCCGATGCTAATATCATTACACACATTGCTACATGCGCAAGTCAAGATTGGAGACAAGTTAATAACATTGTCATGGCTGGATTTGTCACTTCGAGTCAGGCCCAGCGCAAGTGGTACTCCAAGGTTATTACCAAGATCTCATACGGCGGATACAAACTAGGCGCAAATTCGGCCAACATCCTTGTCCAAGATCGCCTTACAGGGCAGATCAACGAAGAGCGCATGAGCGTGTACGTCCGACTGGGTATTAGATTGCTGTACAAGGGCCTCAAATCGAACAGCATGGAAAAGAAGCGAAGTAAGTCATCCAGATCTTGTTGATTCCATGTCGCATACTAATCTGATCGCAGTTCGCAAACTACTCAAGTCCCTCAGTTTCAAACAGGGAAGGAAGTACGACGATCCTGCTTCAGCCTCGGAAATCCTACCCTTCATCAACTTCCATCAGCTTGACATGTCTGAGGTGTTATTGCCAACAGACCAATTCAAGAACTTTAACGAGTTCTTCTACAGAGCATTGAAGCCTGGTGCGCGTCCGTGCTCTGCGCCAGATGATCCCAGGGTCATCGTCTCCCCCTCCGACTGCCGAACTGTGGTCTTCAACACGATCGACTCAGCACAGGCTATCTGGGTCAAGGGTCGCGACTTCACTGTCGAGCGGCTGCTTGGTGATGCATACCCTGAGGACGCAAAGCGCTACCACGGTGGTTCTCTTGGTATCTTCCGGCTCGCGCCGCAAGACTACCATCGATTCCACATTCCTGTTGACGGTGTCATGGATGAACCGAAGACGATTGAGGGAGAATACTACACTGTCAACCCAATGGCTATTCGCTCAGCCCTGGACGTCTACGGCGAGAACGTGCGCGTTGTAGTACCCATTGACTCTGTCGCCCATGGGCGTGTCATGGTCATCTGCATCGGTGCCATGATGGTAGGTAGCACCGTCATTACGCGCAAGAAGGGTGAGCACGTGAAGCGTGCCGAAGAGCTGGGGTACTTCAAATTCGGTGGAAGCACGTTGCTGCTTCTCTTTGAGCCAGGTCAGATGCGATACGACGAGGACCTCGTAGACAATTCGAACGCGGCTCTCGAGACTCTTGTAAGTCGCCGCCTTTTGCGATCAGTTCGCTTTACTAACTACGACAGATTCGCGTCGGCATGTCCATCGGCCATAGCCCCAACAGACCAGCTCATGTTCCCGACATGCGCAAGAACAACCCCACCAATGAAGAGAAGCAGGACGCGAAACGCCGCATTGAGGGCAGCTTTGCACCGCCGGGCGTGAAAGGACCCATGCCTGGAGCTGGGATGTAGAATAGTCCCCGTTGAAGTGCAAAAGAAATGGAATACACAAAAGGAAATGGGCAGGCTTGGATATTCAACATTGTTCTGGCGTGTCTGGAGTAACGTGGTTATGAAAGTATGAGAGCATATGGATTGGCGGCACGGGTAGTCGCTTGTTCTTGGGCGTTTTTGAGCGGCTTTGCCTTCGCTTCCTACGAAGACTTTATTTATATACATGCAGCGCAGCCGGTGCGGATCCTACAAACCATTATCATCTTCTGAACCTTGGCTTACTGCATCCAAGACCGAGTGAGAGCAGCCGAAGTGACAGCGCTCGTCGATGTGGGGAGCGCTAAAGGCTCACGTGAACGCGCTAGTCCCAAAACCATTGTTTTGATGATGCTGGCGGCAGGTGCACACACCAGCTTCCTTGCTCCCGTGTGACAACCGTTCCCCTCCACGCCCGACGCCTAAGGATATTCGCATTACCGCCAAATCATTACGAGCCCCGGATACCCAGGCACATACCTAATTGCACGCGTACCAGCCTCTCGCCGATCGCACATCCTGCGTAGCTCGCCCCGTCTGCGCTCGCCCGTTTGTCGCGCCAATGCACGCGCTTTGACCGAACTTCAACTCCCCGAAACTCCCGTGACGCAGCGACTGGACTCATGACTACCGTCTTCGCGCGCCCACCGCTCCAATCGCTTCCTATGGCAACAAACCGACCCACGACGCGACGAAGGAGCGCAAGACAAGCCTTCGACGACGATGATGCGCCGGCGCCGACGACCAAACGAGCAAAGGCGGACGTGAACGGGACGAGCAAAAAGGCGACTGCTGCGCCAAAGAAGACAGCAAAGGCAGCTGCATACGACGAGGACGATGATGGCTTCCAATTTTCGCGTCGCACGTCGTCGCGAAGGACTACCAAGGCACAGGCTGTGCTGGCACCAGAACCAATACCCGAGGACGAACCAGCAACATTCGCGCGCGCTGCCGAAGCGCAACCGGCCAAATCCACTGCGCGGCGGAAGAAACAGTCAATGGCGGCAGCCGACCCGGAATCCTCAGACTCGGGAAAGCGTCGGCGTTCAGCGCGCATATCTGGTGACAGTAGACAGCTGGAAGTGCGACCCAAGTCTACAGAACCTCCACCGGCGAAATCACGAACAAAGAAGACCGCGCCCGTAGAGAAGGAAAGGAAGAAGCAGACTACACCAGCTCCAGAGGCACAGCCAGAGCCTAAGAGCGCGTATGCAGGCGTGCAAACGCCGACACACAACAAGATACAGGTCGCGAAGAAGCGCGATCCCAACGCTCAAAAGATCATGCTGCCCTTTGCGGACACCCCAGTTATTACGAGGAACAAAGAGATGCGGAAAGGCGGCAACAAAGATGGGTCGAGAAGGAGTAGCACAGGCTTGCGAGGGAGAAGGGCAAGCTCGCTGATTGACAGCGGCCAGTCGAATGGTGAGTCAAGCAATGATGCACAGGAGGGCTGGGCACAGGACCCTAACGGCATGGAAAAGCGCCCCTGGGGATCAGTGGATACTAACAATTCCGCAGCGCTACCGCACTCAGAAGTCGAAGTGCGAGATTTCTACAAATATATCGAGCAGAGCCTACCCGAACCACGACGGATGAAGCAGCTTTTGACATGGTGCGGATCGCGAGCTTTACCAGCAAAACCATCAGGCGACGTGAAGAACGCGAATGCGATTATGGCTGGTATGTCCAAACGAAGCAGGGCGGACAAGACGAAGACTGACAGGAGCGCAGCGCGAGCTATTCAACAAGAACTTATAGACGATTTCGCTAGCAAACCCGAGCTTTCCGACTGGTTCAGCAGGGTATGGGGATCAATTCCATCGAGGCAAGAGCATGAGCTAATAGCTTTACAGGAAGAAGTAGCCCCACCACCTGTGGTAAAGAAGCCGAATCCTCAGAACGAGAAGAACAAAGCCACACTGGAGGAATTGGAGGAGGAAGTCAAGCGGTACGTCACAGAATCCGCGTGTTCTATATTTGCTCCATGCTAACAGCGAAGCAGCCTCGAAGAAGAGAAAGCCGCATGGGAAGCCATTGCATCAGCTTCGAAAACCAAGCCCCCGCCACCCGCGCCCTCAATACCGACATCAACACCTACACTATCCGAAATCGACACGTCCCTCCTCGATCCTGCCCAAGCCGCCATACTTTCCTCCCTCCAGTCATCACAAATCCAACCACCAACGTCGGCATTCACGTTCACTTCGCCTACAGCACTACAATCACATCTCACCTCCCTCGCCGACTCGCTAGAACCGCACATCGACCTTTTCGCAGACGGTGTTCATAAGATCGAACAGTATCGCGCAACGGCCGAACGGGTAGCGGATCGTGTGCTAGGTACTGCGGCAAAGAGGTTGGAAGAGCGGGATCGAGAAGCAAAGGAAAGAGTGGGCACAGAGGGAATTGGAGTCGGCGATATATTGAGAGGCCTTGCTGGTGTACTTGGCGAGCAATGAGTATAAACATGCTGCACTCAATACCAAACAAAGTTGCCGGCAGGAACGGGCAAGGATTGACAATCCGAACAGACACTCCTAGGAGGTCTTATGAGAATGATCTATGTGGCGCACTTTCTTTGACCCTTTTCACCTTGTTTTAGAGAGACACATCATTGACGCATCTTCGCATGGTGTTTACGGCCTTGGGAATGGACTGGGAGGATACGATATACCCTTCTGTTTTCTAGACTCTTTCGTGTAAATGTTTTCGAGAAGGATTACCATCACATCCGTTCTGAGCCACGCCAGGCAAATCATTCGATCAAAGTAGTGCGCTCGAACGTTCTTGAAATGTCATGACAGATCTCGTTTCCAGAACCTTACATCCTGTTCATCTCTCTATGTGTCTCCTTCAGTCACTCTCACTCAGCTCTTGACACACCACACAGCCAGCCTCCCAATCTCATCTTCAAGCTTCAACGCAAACCCCACTGAGATACGCAGGAACAGCAAGCGCTGTTCCAGATAACGAAGGACTTCAAGCCGGGTATCGACGAGCTGCTCTGGCGAGCGACCGAGCAATTGGGTCCAGGCGGCGTCTGAGAGAATGAGCTTCCCGCTGCTGATCTGGCCGGTTTCATCGAGGAGGGGACCGAGCTGCGAGGGTCGGGAGTTAGTCAGAGACGAAGACGAAGTAGGGATTGTGAGAAAGGGAGTGTGCGAAGGGTGGACGTGACTTACTATCCTAGGATTGATTCTCAGTCCGACAAGCTTCTCACACTGCTTGCAAACGACCTGTGTGCTGTTGGCGAAGATGGGTATACCACAGCACTCATTACTCATGAGCATATTTCGTTTGAACGGCGTGACGATATTGAGTTCGGTGATGATGACGCTCAGGTACCCAGCGATAGTTTCTTTGGACCTTTTGCTCGACAGTGAGCGAGCGACATCATCTACATCCGCAAGTGTATACAGTGCTCTCGCGGCTGCATTCTCGAACCCCTCGACTACATCGTCAGCGATGGGGAACGGCGGGTTGACATGCTCTTTCTTCGTCAGTCTCTGTGCTAGGGCTCGCAATCGCCGCGCGTCACCCATGTCGGGGTCGATGTCCACACGTGAGTTGCCGCTGATTGTGAGCTTGGCCATCTTGTCGATGCGCCATCCAGGGTTTGAGATGAGCAGGACTGTTTCTGAGGGGACGAACAGAGAGGCCGAGTCGCACATGGAAGAGTATAGGGTGAGTAGGCCGTCGGATGTGTCGTCGAAGATACCGAGTGTTATGAGTTCAGAGGTTGTGCTGTTGCGGTTTATGTCTGTTGGCAAGTTAGCCGTGAATCATCCTTGAAGATATCCGTAAAGAGGAGGACCACGCACACTTCTTCCGCGCGCCAATACTCTTGACGCATACCAGTAGTTTCGGCTCTTCGACATCATAACCGCCATCAGTAAATGTCTTCAGCGTCATCAGCCCACTAAGCACTCTGTTGTCCCTCACACCATACGGCCTCTTGAACCTCGTCCCATCATCGCTGTTCTCATGCACCATGACATGGCAGTGTCTCTCACCTTCGGGGAATATCGTAGTGAACAGCGGCGCAGTATTCGGTGCTAGTGAGTTGTACTCTGAAGAGTTCGAGATATGCACCGTCCACACGCTGAGCAGCTGGCCGAGCTTGAGCTTGTACTGAGTATTAGCATACCAAAGGCGCACGGTGAGTACCCCGGTGTCGTCTGCGAGCAGGATTTTGATGCATCCTTGAGCTGCTTTGTGCGATTTGCTGGGTTTGGATTGGTCGTTGAAGTAGACGACGCGGCCCATGAGTGTGAGGTTGCAAGGGCCAGGTTCAAGTGTGTCTAGGTCTGCTTCTTCGTAGTCGAGAGTGGGCTTCCGTACATTAGCGATGAGTTGAAGTTCATTGAGGGAGATATGTTACAGCCCATGTACCTGCCGTGGTCGCTCCTTCCGCAGCAGTGGATTGTACGTCCTCTGCTGTGAAGACATCACTGCTTTTCGTAGGCGAAGATGAGAAGTAAGACTGTATTGACGAAGACGCGGGCATTTTCTCGTTTGGCGCGAGTTGGAGGTATTGGTGTGGCGGTCTCTGAAGTAACTTATGAGGTGAGGATCGAAGCAGGAGCGTTCCTGCTGTTTGCGCAAGTGCGACCCACGTTGGAACCACGACAAGGAAGTCGCACCATCCACACCACAATCGGCTATATCTGTTATGTGCACATACGTAGGCAATGAATCGTATGGCCTGATCACCACTATTAGCTCACCGAAGACCGACAATGTTGCATATACGTGCGGATTTCGTAAACAGATTTTTATTGCTTTAAAGAAAGTAGTGAGTTGGTCAAATCAAATCGTGAGTGACATGTGCTTCAAGAGCTCATGCGCCGTCTGCCAGCTGGCACCATCAACATGCATGCCCGCCATCAGTTCATCCAGAGACCTAAAAGAGCTTGTGCTCCAAGGTCATGTCGTTCTCCGGCTCAAGACCGACGCAGGCGCGGAAGATGTTGGTGAGAGCCGCGCGCTGCTTGGCAAGAGCGTTGACGACAGGCGTACCAGGAGGAGTAAGAGGGGCCTTGAGCATGTAGCTGAGGACACTGAGCACGCTGTGGAAGTTGTTGAACTTGCCATCGCTGCCTTCGGCAGTGTGGGCCTTCCACTGAACACGGGTCATCATCTCAGCGACAAGAACCAAATCGATGATCAGAGGTGAAGCCAAGAGAGAATCCTCGCAAACGTTGAACAGGCTGATGGTCTGGTGGCCGTCGAGGAAGATCTCCGCATAGTACTCGTCAAGAGCGCGCTTGTCGTCTCCAACAGCAGGCATGTACTTGATGACGACGCAGTGGTCGGGGTGTTCGCCTTCCTTGTATAGGACGTTGTTGGCAGCGACCATGTCGTCGACGACGTTGGACTTAGAGATCTCCTTGGAGCGGAATTGCTTCTGAGAGCTAAGGTTCATGCCGTCATTGTTGCCCAAGTGGTTGTAGGAGGCAATTGAGGTGAGCTTGATACCGGCGCTGATCATGAAGTCGACGAGGGCCGACTTCATCTTGGTCTGGCCCGACTTGAAGTCGTCGCCGCCAATGAAGGCGTTGTGCTTCTCGGCGAGCTGGATAGCACCAGGAACGAATGTGTTCTGGGGAGAACCGTTGATGAAGGGAACACCCTCAAGGATAGAGGCCACAGCAAAGACAGTGGACGGGGAAACCTCCTCGTGACCAGATTCGATCGCTTTGAGCAGGTTGTCCGCCGTGTCGTTGACGCCCTCAACGATGTCGGCATAGCGCTCAGTGTTAGCAGTCCACTGCACAATGACCTTGTCGAGACCGTTGGCGGACTTGAAGTCACTACAATATCGTCAGTAAAGGTGAGGTTGATATGCATTGAGTCTCGGCTTACCGGATGTCCTTGCGGATCTGCTCAACATGGGCATTGGAAGCCTTAGTACCTTCGAGAACATTGTCGGCACGCTCCTCCTGGTTGGCAGCAATGAAGTCCGGGTAGTAGATGCTAGGAAGAGGCTTCATGGCGCTCATCTCCTTGCGAACAAGAGACTTGAGGGACGGTGACAGAACCTTGGCGCGGTCCATGGCCTCAGCAAGGTTCATCCCGCTGATGTCCCATCCGCCAACGACGAGGTCGTTGGGGTGGACCATAGGCAGGAGGTCATGGAATGGGATGTGAATCTCTTGACCAGTCTTGCTGTCAACACCGAGCTTGGTAGTAGATCCCATGATGACCGAACCATAGTAGTTAGCGCCACGCTTGCCCTCCTTGGTCTCCCAAACGAGGTTACGCTTGTTCGCGATGATGCCGGCCGTGACCGTAGTACCGTTGTTGCCGCCCCAGCCAACCAGCATAACACCAGTCTTGGGGATCTTGCGGTCGACCTTAAAGTCGTAGAGCGTCTCCTTGGGGATAGCAACATACTTGCCGTCGTCGTTCTTGGTAACGTCGGTGGTACGGTAAGTGTACTTTGACTTGATGGTATCCTCGGTGTATTCTACGTTAGGAGAGCTGACGACAAAGAGATCCTTGGGAGTTGCCTTCGCTTCGAACCCATTCGCGTGACCGACGCGTTCTTCGGCGTGTGGTGCCATGATGATTTACGTTCTTGTTGAGTTGGTGAACTTAGTTGCGGAAGTCTAAATCCGACGCTGCCCCAGAGGGAGAAGTGCGTCGGCCGGCGAATGGGTTGTGGATCCTGTCAAGTGTAAGTAAAGGCGGTCCCCATGGGGTTATGGCGGGGCACATACGAGCTGAGGAGATTGGAAAACGTCTTGACAGCTGGGCAATGGCCCGGGGAAATCTGGGTGTGGTTGATAGAAGGGGGAGAGATTGCAAGCTTGACAGTGGGCTGTTGTTTACAATCGATGGTGTGTTGCGGTGGGGTGAGAAACGAGGGAGAGAAGTCGCGATATAAATGCCTCCCGTGTCCGGCTGACTTAGCAATAATCGTACGCAATCGCTCCCGCTTCCTGCCGGACAGCGTGTTCACCCACCGCTTCTTTGCCTGTACCTTCCATACTCCCCACTTTTCATGCTAATGACTATCGCCGTAGCCGTCTTCGGGACGTACAACACCAATGGCGCGTAGCCGTGGTATTCGCGATGCTCGCCTTGCCCCACTATTTCCCTCACTACCTCAACAAGCAGCAGCGACAACCGCAGTAGGGAAGGTGACGATGTAAGCGACGCGACGAGAGCGCTCTGTTGGCATTAAGCGAAGGAACATTGCATGGACAGCTGTCTCTGCATGCTCGAGTGTACCGCTGTGGGAATTGTTTAATTCCTCCTATGAGCTACGCACTGGACAGGTGTGTAGCTAGTGCTAGAGTACCTAGGTACGGGTACGGAGATACGGACCCCGCCATCACGTGCGCAACACTACAGAGAGGGGATCTCGGGAGCCGGGTGTCGATGTGTAAGAGTTTTCAGGCATATGGGAATTGGCCTGGGGCCAGAATGGCAAGCATGGCATTTGGACGGTGTCTGAGCCACGGACTGTTTCAAAGCACGGTGATGTCGTCAGTCAAGCACTGTGGTAGCACTCGACACGCTGTGTGCGTCAGACATGTTTACGGAACGAAAAAAAGGCACGCGACACAGTCCGCAGCGTATTTTTGTGTGGAGTCTCGGCGATGCAAGACGGCTACTGTTGACAGATGACAGATGCTGCTTGCTCGCAAAGTGTCCACACGAGACAAGTGTTGACATTATTTTCTTGGTGTTATTAGCCGCGATGGCAAGCAACATGGGGGAGACCCTGGGGTCGGCTGGGAGAACGACGAATGCGGCAACCTGCATGGGAAGTTTGCTGATCGACAATCAGCCTCGCCGTTCGCCAAGGGAACCATGTTAGGCCACCATGCTGCATGCAGACGGAGACAGGCACGCAGGGAGATGGGTCTCCCCAGGGCAGGAGTTGGCGCAACGGCATGCGAGCAGTTCGAAACTTCTAGCACCTGCGACATGTCAAGCACTGTGTGTCGCGGGCCACGCCGACGTGAGAACATGGCTGATGGGAACATTGCGGACGAGAAACTGTTGACGTAGCGAAAGGGGCGCTTAGTTATGGATAATTTGTATCTGCAGCGTCGATCGACCAACGAGAACGATGCCGCGAGTGGCCAATCAAGGCCGAGAGTAATGTCCGGCCCTGGTGGCTTACCAGCGCATGGGCAGCAGGCGACCAGAGCCTCAAGCCACCTGCTCGTCGCTGCAGGACTTGGCTATACACGGGGCACGCATCTGGCAAACGTTGTTGCCGCGATTTGCGACCTCCTGGAGCTTGCGAACTCTGTTGGTCTTGGGTCGCAACCGTGACATCGTCACTGCGGCGGTGTTGGGTCCGAGACTTTACGCCAGCGACTATGGTTTCATCGCAGCCGGCCGCCTCTGGTGCGTGCAACTGACACGGAGAGGACCACACGATGTGCCCATGCCCAGGTAGCTAGGTACAGGCCGCCGTCCCGTGCACATGGCCATCGAATCATGGCGGCCGCCGTGCTCGACCACTGACGCCGCATCTCAGGGACGCGCGAGTTACGTGCAGGACACACAAAGACGCGCAGAAGGGGGCGCGTCGTCCCTTGCGACTGGCTGGCGATTGGGTGTTCATCTCTGATGCCGATCAGCCCTGTTGTGCTCGGCGGGCTGTGGGTGGCCGGCGCTCAGACGCGGTCATTATCTATCTCATGAGGATAATTCATTAGCATCAAATACCCAACATTGCGCGTGTCGATTGTGGGGCCCAGCAGCCTCTTAGACCGCAGGATGCAGCCAGGCTAGCCTTTATCCCGCTGCCGTCCCTGGCTGCTAGCCACTTCAGAACGACGCCCGCATGTGCTTCCCCTGATTCAGCAAGGCCCACCCACACCGTTTCTGAGGATCCAACAACCCTGCACCTTTGTTTCTCGGCGCTCCCGCCCATCATCCGTCCTCGACCACCGCCGCATACCTTGCCTGCTCCCACTCCGTGCCACCATCTTCGAGATAGCCTTACGACGATATTCCGCTGGACGTGAACGGCCTTAATACTGAATGTCCAGGCACGATCCGCCTCGGACTCCCTCTCTGAACCAGCACCGGATACGCGCCCAACATGGAACGAATGAGCACGCTTCCGACTATCAAGTGTTCATCCTGCGCGGTGGACATTGACATCCTCCATTTAGCCGACCATGTCTGCGCTGCAGCACCCCCAGCGGGTGAGTACGCCACGAATGCACACTATAACACTCACTCATCAGTTGCAGCAACGCCCGCTCCTGAGCCAATGTCGCCCACCTCGACCATCTCTATGGGTTCCCCGCCCTCTATACTGTCGCCCAAGATGAACCGCGCAGCAACCTTTGGCGGTCCCACGTTCAGCAACCGCTCGGAACGTCCAGCGCAATCGGGGCGCATGCCTCCCCCGCCCAGAATCGATTCAAATGCAGCGAGTAAGCATCCAGAAGAGTAAATCAATTTGAGTAGTAGACATTGTGCTGATCTGTTTAGACAAACCATTCCGGCCGCTGGAACCATCGCCAATGAGCAACCAAGTTGACTACAAGAGTCGATCCCCAGGTCTGGCGCCACCAAAGTCTCCTTTCAAGATGAACCGCAGTGTGACAACTCCGGTTGGGCGACCCATGGCACCCCCATCGCCCGATTACAGTTCCAACTTGGACTGCGCCTTTCCCCGATTTCCCTCCAAGAACGGTACTCCTAAGAGTGCCAAACCTCAACCACGAGAACGCCTGGAACCCTTCCAGCAAAACTATGCTCAACCAAGCCCTCTATTCGCACCTCTCAGCCCCCGGTTTGATGGTGGAGAGAACATCGCCAAGCGCATGAACAGCATTGCACCAGGACCCTTCGACGGAACGGCAGACCGAAGGCCGAGCACATCAAGCGCAGCAAGACCATTCGCGGAAGAAGGGCCGGCGCTTGGGCATAGAAGGATGGGCACAAACGGCAGTATCGCCAGTAATAAGAGCGTGTCGAAACAGCGTACTTCCACAACATCGAATGCGTCGCGGAGTTCAGCACACTCCAATCGCAGCATAGGTCTTCCTGCTCGCCCGAAGCCGGGCATGGGTGGAGCCAATGCGCTGCCACCACTGCCATCCACGTCCGAACAGGCTGAGGGTATTGATGCTTTCCTAGACCGCTTGCAGAAGGAATCTACCAAGCCTTCCAGAGCTTCCCAAGAAAACCTTGCAAGGTCAATTCCGTCACGACCGAACAGCAGAGAGCGAAAAGAACCCCCACCAAGACCTAGGAGGCCTTCAGAAAAAGATCTACCGCCAGCAGACATGACCGATCTGGACCCCCCGGAGTTCATGTCTCTCTCAAACAACATGTTCCCTTCTCGCGGCTCAAGCCGAAGTGGCTCGGAAAGCGACATGCCACGAGGCCTTGCGCCAACGCATTCCTTACGTCCACCGCCACTAGCAGCTTCTGGGCTCGGTGATGCGCCCATGAACGCACTCCACACCCCTTCGGACTCTGGCTTCTCAGACGATTCATACGCCAGCTCGGGCTACCGCAGCATGACAAGCTCCAGATCAAGCCCCCCAGAGTCCGAGGCTGCGCACTCACGCCAGACTTCCAAGATCAGTCGTCCTGACAACATCGTCGAGGAGAATGTTGAGAGAAGCGCAAGCCCGGAGTCCTACGCCGAAGCACGGCCTGTTCGAGCGCCGAAGAGTTACATGCGGCCCGATGGGGCGGAGCCGTACCCAAGGTCGCTTTCACCGGGATATCGCCAGGACACGTTTCCGCCTGGAGGATATGCGAAATACCCTGAGTCGCCAATGGACCCCGCCATACAGATGGGCGCGTCAACACCGCGTGACACATTCGAAAGAGAGCCGGCAACACCCCAGGACCCGGCGCAAGTCAATGTAAGCCCACCAAGACGCATGGCCGAGCCTGAACCCCAGCAACAAGACGTGCGCCGACCTAAGGCTGCTAGCAAAGGCAACTGTCGTGGGTGCTCGGAGCCAATTGTTGGAAAGTCCGTGAAGGACTCTTCCGGCCGCCTTACGGGACGCTACCACAAGCATTGCTTCACGTGCAGAACGTGCGCTGATCCCTTCCCGACAGCGGAGTTCTATGTCTTCGAGAACTCGCCATATTGCGAACAGCACTACCACAAGCTCAACGGATCTTTGTGCAATGCCTGCAACCGGGGCATCGAAGGCCAATATCTCGAAACCGATTTGCGCCAGAAGTTTCACCCAAGATGTTTCACGTGCACGACCTGCCGCATCGTCCTCCGCGACGGCTACTTTGAAGTCGCTGGCCGGCGATACTGTGATCGACATGCGCAAAGCGCCGCAGCACCTCCGAGAAGTAACCTAGGCCCGGGCAATTATAGACCGCGAAACCTCCAGAAGCGCGGTACAAGGCTCATGATGATGGCGTGAACCATGCACCTCTCGCATAACCGTTGTCGTTGCTTCTTCTTGCTCATACTTTGCTTTTCATTTGTCACGTCCTTTAGCGATCTGGTTTTTGTTTGGGCCTTTTGCATGAATATTCACCCTCTTCATTCTTTCTGATACCCGGCCAGTCCGCTGTTACTTTACCATATGTTCTGCGTTATACCCCTTACTCTATACATTCGCTACATCTTATAATTGTCTTTTGTATCGATGTTGGATGGTGGTCAAGCACCGATGCTTGGGGTTGCTTTGGGTGGTGCTCGATATACCACCTTTTGTTGGAAGGTTTCAGTCGCTGGGAGACTGTTCTTACTTTGTTAATAACGAGGTCCGACTGCACGTGTACATATATGTAACATACCTAATGTTTACTGCTCACCATGGTGGGCTTATCAGTATCGATTGAAGAATCATTTTGCGTTGCCTTGTTGGGTGATTCCTTGTCATTTCCGCGATGCACACAGCTAAACACTCAAGGTGTCCACATCGAGTGATTGGGCGTTTCCGCAAACGTGGTCAGGCTTGGAAGAAGCGGCGAACCATCAGTCAGCATCAATCAAGGCTACTCCAATATCTGGATATCCATACTAGAGCTGGAGTCGGGTGTTTGGTTCATCGATCGCAAGTGCTATAACGGTATCACCTTCAAGAATCGCCCGCTATCGCAATCTCGCCATTCTCTATCCATTTCACGGTATCATCAATACCCTAAACGCCGGTACCCTTGAAGAGCACAAAATCATGAAGATTGAATGAATGAGAGAGGTATATAAACCATGTCCGCTATGCGTTTCTTGATTCTTACATAACTACCACTGCAACTTCTACCACCACCCAGCTACAGCATCCACAACAATACTAGCAACAGCACCCTGCAATCCATTCAAGCAATAACTATCGGTTACACAAATACCATGTGCGACATCAACCAACCTCTGTTCGGTGAACAGATTCCTCGTCTTCCGAACTCAAGCAAGGGTCCCGAGCCCAACCCTCCTGACACCCCACCTCCAACACCTCCGGGAGGATACAAATGTGTAAGTACTCATGATGTAAAAAGATATATACCGTGCAGAAGCTAACATTCGTACAAGAACCTTGGCCCGGAGCCTCCAAGGCCTCTGGATCCACGTTCCGGTCTTCCCGCATCGCCCTACAGGCAACGAGAAGACTTTGTGCTTCCAGAGCCGTCTGTAAGGATCTCATTCCGGGAGCCTGATCAGCAAGTGAACTGACTGTTGTCTCAAGGACGCTAAGACTGGCTACACACCTCCTTCCTCGCCAGCACCGCCGCCTAATACGCCAGAAAAAAGACGAGGTGATCTTCCTCTACCAGAGCCCTCTGTGAGTACTATCTTTCGCCAATCTAATCCTGTAGTTTAGCTGACCGTTTTGTCAAGGACGCTAAAACTGGCACCACACCACCACCGAGGCCCAAGACTCCACCAAACACACCCGTGAAGCATTCCGCGGTTTTTAGTTCCAACACTCCTGGTCCGTCTTCTGGCATGATCTATGTCATGGCTTGCGCTTAAATGCCGAAGACCAGTGTTCGACTGAGAGTCATGAGTGAACGGAAGCAGGGAGAGGCCTAGCTATGGCTATGGACGATGATTGCGCATGATGATCATTGGCAGCTCTGCAGTACATGTTTGAACTCTATAGCTCCCAATGATAAATTAAACCCTTTGACATATCAGCAATTTCCTTGCAACAATACCGGCAGCTGACATCGCCTAGCCTCACTTTGTAGCAATAACCGCCCACTGACTAGCCCTCATCCAAACTTCCCCACCAACCCTCTTCGTACCCTCTTGCTCCAAAAGATGCTTCACCAGCAGATCGACTGCCTCATCCCACCTCTCACTATCTGTCTCCGCCCATCCGCCTATACCACCCAGATACGCCCAAGATTTCTCTGCCCAGTCTCTCAGATCGCTAGTCTTTGCCCATGCCTCACTTTTCTCTACTCTCATGTTTGCTCGCGAGAAACCCGCCTCCAACATCACTTTCTGGATCTGCTGACCGTCCTTCCAAAATATAGGCGGTGCGGGGTACGGTTTCTCTGGACGGAGGGCTTGGTGCACGAGTGCGAAGGGCGGGAGCCAGGTGACGTCTTCCCAGCAGTTTACTACCGCGGTGCCGCCGGGTTGGAGTGTGCGGTAGATTTCCTTGGCGCCGTCGAGACCGGCGGAGCTGGTGAAGAAGATGCCGGTGTTGTTGATTGAGTGTGTGAAGTGGTCGTCTGGAAACGATAAATTTTCAGACCTCTGGTTTGATACGTCGATGGGCCAGGAGTTCTTCTGCACGTCTGATTGGAGTGCGTCGAGGAAGACTTGGTCGATGTCTGTGGCGTGGATCCTAAGACCTGAGGGTATGTCTGAGGAGAGAATCTTTCGAGAGACTGTGCCAGCTCCACAAGCGTTGTCGTGAATGATGGCATTCGGAGGCATGGATGGGAGGAGCGAGAGGTTGTGTGCTGCGAACTGGGAAGTCACGGCACCACCTGTAGCCTCGTACACATCGACCTTGCGTTGGCCTTCAAGCAGGGCAGCGACTTGGCTTGGTTGATGTGGGGAACTGGAAGTCATAATGATAGCTTTTGAGGTTTTTGTCAATGTATGTTTAGGTAGGTAGGGTTTGATGTGCTGAGCATACAGCAAGACGGCTGCCTCTACGTCTTATGTAGTCATCTCTACAGCGCCAAAACGCCATGAAGCCATGAAGATTACGGCATGCATACCGCGTCGGACGTCTATGAGACCGACGAATCGACCTTAGTCATACTGCTCTGTTTTTACACCTTTGTAGGGCAGACTAGATTGGCTGGTGGCGTTCAAGGCTGACATGCGTTGTGCTTACGCCCAGCTACACTATACTAACGTAAATGACTTATAGCGAGAACTCGCCAGTGATTCAGGCGTTTCCAGAGCTGCAATCGACGTGGTAGTGTTGTGGTTGAGAGATGATGAACGAGCGGACATCTGGAAGTAGCGCCCGGAGGAGGCTCGTCCGGACATGTCGGATCCGAAACGGTTTGGCGCAAGTCCGCCGTCCTCCTCTGCTTGTCGCGAACAACGCGACTTTTGAGCACATGCCTCACATCCTTCCCCCAGCGAACGAATGCAACGTTTGACACGTCATATCAACACTTGCGTATCCCATCTCGCCTTCGTGGGTCGTTACCAATCGATACTGAGCTTGCGCGGTGCCGACTCACACGAGCGCGAACCTCCGTCTGCCCAACGCCCGGAGGCTCTGCCAGCAATGTCGGAAAGCCATACTCACGCGCTGAGACATACAAAGATGGAGAGACTGGACAACACATGTGAGCTGGATATGTGGAAATATCCGCGCCTGTATGAGGAGGAGACTGTAAGCTGTAGATGACGCGTTGGCCTCCCAGCTGCGTCGAGACGCGACGCGGCCGGGCAAGCTTGCACGGTCATCACACGCTATCGATCTGATCAGATGAACAGTCATCTATATCGTACGCAGTGTGGTGTGGGGAAAACATAGGCTCGAAACAGTTGCGCACCTGCAAAAAAGAGACCAACGGCATGCTCATCGTGAGCGCAAGCACGCGAGGATAACTTGATTCATCTATGGTCCTGCCTAGATAGGCATCTACGTTGACACAAACCCCAAAAATCATGTTCTGTATAACACGATGCTGCGAGGAGCCTTATCGAGGTAACGATCCGGCTATTGGGCACCATGCCTTCTGACAGGCGCTGTGCGCCGTTGAGCACGAGTACAGACCTCTGTCTCTGGATGCCTTCTATATATCACATCACGGAAGACAGTTTCGTGCCGTATGCTCAAGCAATGCCAGACAACATGTTTTCATATCTTCTGGTTCTCCTCTCTTATATAGGCAACGCCATTGCTCAACAAGCAGGGTAAGACAGCGAATTTGTCTTTTTAAAACCCGTGTTGTAATTGCTCACTCTCTCTAGACCGGTCTACTCGCCTTTGCGACCACCTTCCATCCCTCTCGCAGTCCGCTCCCCATACACCAGTGCTTGGAGCACAACCTCTGGCGGCAGTACGCTTAACAGTCAAAACGTCACCTTCTGGACTGGCGATCCCATAGGATGGAGTGGCATCATACGCGTAGACGGAACGGCTTATGAATACATGGGAGACTCGCCCTCCGTACAAGGTCTCGAGAAAGCAACTCCACTTACTGTATCTTACGACTCCCACTACAGTAACTTTACATTCGACGCTGGACCTGTGCGATTAGAGGCGCGATTCTTCTCTCCTGTTCTACCAAAAGATCTTTGTAAGAGCAGTATTCCGCTCAGCTATCTGGAAGTCGAGTGGGCCGCCACCGACGAGCTCTCGCATAATGTACAGCTCTACTCAGACATCGATTCTAGCTGGCTTGCAGGCGGCAACATTTCATCCGACTGGACCATCAACTGCCCTGGTGAGTCTTTCGGCGAAACTCAATGCCCGCCGAAGGGAACGGAGACCCCCGACACATTATTTCATTGGTAAGTTGTCTAATCAAAGTATGTTCAGTATAACTCTAACCAGCTTCAAGGGAAGCACTCATTGTGGATGAGCTTTCATGGTCCGATCGTGGCCACAAGCAAGAACCATACTGGGGCAGCCTACACTACGTCTCTTCTCCCGGCATGAGCACCAACTTCGATACTGCGAACGGTTTAGCAACCACTATACGACAGCAGTTCGTCAATGGCGACACAGTGGATAATTCTTTCGATCAGAATCAGTCTCGGGGACCATCACCTGATCAAATGCTAGTGTTCGGTTTCTTGCATAATTTTGCGTCTAGTCAATCCGGGTCAGCGCTGTATACTGTTGGCACGACTCAAGAGCCTGCTGTGAACTACCGCACTGCTAGCGGGGACGTCGAGCTCCGACCATGGTGGCTTACGAGCAACTGCTATTATAATACTAACAACATGATCCGCAGGCATTACCAAGACTACCCAGCTACCGCAAAAGAGGCCAAATTTTGGACCATGAAGCTGCGAAATGATGTGGAGTACTACTATGCCGAGGATAAAGCGACAGATATGCATGCAGAAGTAGCCTCGCTATCTGAAGAGGAGTCATACTATGCCATTGTCGCTCTCTCTGCCCGCCAGATCCTGGCCGCAAACGTCCTCACAGAATCTGCAGACAACACTACGGGACCAACTATCTTTCAGAAAGAAATCTCATCAGACGGCAAAGTGAACACAGCCGATGTCATCTACCCCGCGTTACCTTTCTGGCTCTATGCAAACCCGGAGCTTCTTCGCTTACTGCTCAAGCCCGTCTTCGAGTTCCAGGAGTCTGGACTCTATCACGAACGATATGCCATGCACGATATCGGGCGCTTCTACCCAAACGCCATAGGATACTACAGCTCCACCGTTCCCGATGAGGAAGGGGAAGAAGCGATGCCCGTTGAAGAGAGCGCGAACATGGTTATTCTGGCAGCTTCGTACTACTTGGCCACCAACGACACCGCATTCCTTATTAGCCACTACGATATCCTCAAGCGGTGGTCGGAATACCTCGTAGAAAATTGCCCATACCCTGAGCATCAGACCACGACAGGCAAGTACAAAGCAGCATGTGAACACCAAGAACGTTGTACTAACGAGTTGAAGATGACTTCAACGAACCCACTGCCAACAACACCAACCTCGCAATAAAAGGCATCGTAGCCCTAAATTGCATGGGTGTCATTGCCCAAGCCAATGGCGACAGAGGCTATGGAGCAGGCAGATGGATACGCAACGCATACTTCTACTATACCCTCTGGTCCGAATCAGCCATAGACCCCGCAACCAACCATACTCTTCTCGCTTACAACCTCCCCGACTCCTACAGCATCCTCTACAACATCTTCCCAGCCCTCCTCTTCAACCTGCGCGCAATCCCCAAATCTCTCTTCACCATGCAGTCGGACTTTTACCCGACTGTCGCCCAGAAGTACGGCGTTCCCCTCGATAACAGACGCCTGTGGACCAAGAGTGATTAGGAGATGTGGGCTGCGGCTACGAGTCGACCTGAAACAAGAGCGTTGTTTGTGAACTCGTTGGCGAAGTGGATCAATGAGACGAGTACAGACAAGGCGCTTTCAGATCACTTTATAACGACGGGTGATGGGGGCTATACTGATTACCCGTTTGTGGCAAGGCCAGTCGTTGGGGGGCATTTCGCGCTGCTGGCGATGGGTCTTTTTGGGAGACATGGGGTTCTAAATGGAGAGGATGAGTAAGCTAGCTGGGTAAGATTGCCAATGAGATGGTGGATAGGTCATGTCACGACATCACTGCACATGCTAGAGTTCACCCGGGATGATTTGAATGGTATCATGTTTCGTATTCATATCGCTTCGATGCGATCACCAGTTGCCTTCTCTACTTCCCATTTTCGCGCCATTCTCATATCATGCATTCGAACATCCCTTCATGTCCTTCTAGTGCTATCTCATCGCGCAAACTTTTAGCGGAAACTGAAATATAACGGATGGGAAGGATCGCTTGGGTACTTGTTGAGGTACCAGAGAGGGGGCCTAGTTGTGCGCCGCTAGCGATCACGCTCCTTGAGCTCCTCTGCAACAGCCTTTAGACCCTTCTCATGTTCCTTCTGGATCTGATCCCAGTACTGTGCCCAGATGCGAGACTGTGAATCGTCCTGACCAATACCGGCTTCGGTGCCCATTTGCTTGTTAAGCTGCATTGACACTTTGAGCACGCCCTTGGCGCCTTCGTGAATCTTCTCGATCTCCTGCTTGACAGCATTCTCTTTTGGCTTGACGGCAAGTACAGTGCGGAAGTTCTCGGCAAGAGAATCCAGACGCGAGCGGACCTGATCTGGTGCAATGACCATGAGCTTGGTGAGCATGAGGTTGCACAGAACTCGAATGTCATGCTCGTCGGTGATACCAGCGACAATGCGATCGAAGAAGTCGGAGACCTCGATGGGTGACAGCCGTGCAAAGGCCTTCTCAAGAAGAGCATAGAGAGTTTCGTATGCGCTCTTGCGGATCTCTAAGCCATCGTCGACCTTGAGCTTGAATGGACCCATTTGCACCTCGCGGATAAGCTCAGGCTTGATGACGGTCTCCTTCATGGCCAGTGGAAGCAGCTGGTCGAGCGCAGGGAGGATAATGTCGGGCTTGTTGTGCATGGCGGAGTTGAACGTCATAAGAGCAAGACGGCGATTCTCGAGATCGGGCTCGTTGAGCATCTGTACAAGCATAGGCACAACGATGGGGCGGAGGTATTCGTCGTAGGCTTCATCGGTATCGGTGAAGGTGTATCGTAGAGCAGAAATGACCATGGCGCGTAAGCTTTCCTTGCGGTCGTTCAAGAACGCCTAGGTTATAAGTTAGCTGTTGAAAAAAAAAACTAAAAAAACTATGAGGGCTTACCTGAAGTTGAGGAAGGTACGTCTTCGGGTCAATGATAGTAAGCCTGCCAATGCACTCTGCACCGATTGCTTTGTTGTCTTCGAGCTGCGAAGCAACAACGAGGTTTTCCCACAGTGTTGATGTGTACGGGATGATCTCCGACTCCGTGTCGTCATGCTGAAGGACTTCCTTGATAGCGTGTAGGAACAGATACTGCGGTGAAGAAGGCTGTCCCATAGATGACAGAATGACGGGAAGATATTTGCCGACACTTCCAGCACCGGCTCGGCCAAGCGCAACAGCGGCCGCAAGTGGTACGTTCTCGGACTTAGCAGAGAAGTACTTGATGAACAACTTGGGATCAATGGTAGATTGCGAACCAAGGCGCAATGCAGATTCTCCAAGCACTACCAGGGCAAGACACTTGCGCTTGTCGTCTTGTGCCGTCTCAAGCTCGGTGATGAACTGCTCAAGTTTTACGCCAACACTGTTGCCACCATATACAAGCAAGTTACCAATGACCTTGCCTACCACCTCTGGATGCCCAGATACACCGACTTGTTGTAGCAGTGCTTGCATCAAGGCCTTTCCGGCGCCTTGCTCTCCGATAGTGCGTACTAGCTGGAGGAGTGCATCCAACGGCGTTCCGCTTATCGAGCCTTGAGCAACTTGACAAAGGGCATCGTTGAGGCTGGGCGTCATGATGACTTGCGCGTCGTCCTTGACGAATGTAGCCAGGATGATAAGAGCCGGTCCCAGGAGGTGCAGGTCGCTGGCGTTCAGCAGCGGAAGCAGCATCTCCACCACCTGTGCTTTTGTCTTGTTGTCGAGTTGGCTCCGTGATAGCGAATTCAATGAGAGAGTGCGTAGCGCGCTTAGGCTGGCACCGCGTAATACGCGACTGGCTTTCCGTAATTGTGCAGCAAGTTCCAGTGCGACATTCTGTACCCATTTGGCTGACAACTCATTTTGCGCCTTGGTGTGGGCAGCGACAGAATCAACTGCACGTACCGAAGCAAGCCTTGTCAATTCGTTCTTCAGGCGTTCTACCAGAAGTTCAAGTCCAGCCGTTCGCTTTGGCGAGGAGAGGAGGCCTTGTTCACCAGAGCTCCTACCAAGCAACAATCCAAGGACGTGAATAGCACTCCGTCGAACTTCCACGTCAGCGTCGTTCGCTGATATGCGGTTGACTAACGCATCGAACAATTGCTCTAGATGCTGCTGGTTCTCCGTTCCTGCTGTAGCAGCTCGGGGAGGTGTGAGGGCCTTGATGACCTGCTCTGTTGCTGCCAGAGCTTCGATAGACAACTTGCTGTACTTATCCTTGACCCCACGGAGGAGCGCGTCAATGATAGCCGCTACATATGGCTGGATGGATTTGGACGAGTGAGTATCGGCGATGGCTCCTATCAGCTGCAAAGCTTGAGTACGTAAGGTGTTAGCGGTAGCGGAAGCACTACTTGTCGAACCGCCAGTAATCTTCGCAGCTTCTACAACAGGGTTGATCAGTTGGTTGAGGTACCCATCGAGACCACCACGCTGGGTGATGACGATGTCCTTGATCAAAGAGATGGACGCCTGCTTAGTGGTAGGCGGGCATGATGACTGCTTCAGAAGCTGCGCGATGCCCTTGACAATCTCCGGGCTGATCTTAGCTAAGCTTGCGCGAGGGCCGACTGGAGGCGTGCCAGCTGGTGCGGGTGAAGCATAGCCCATTGACAAGGACGAACTACCCTGCAGATCAAACATGCTAGCATCGCTACCGCCGCGACGACGCTTCTTGCTTGGCGGTGGTGGCATTGTTCCACTCTGAGGAGTCTCGTCGGCGAACTTGACAGGCGAGGGTCCGTCACCCGACTTCTTGATCAAGTTGGATAGAGTGGCCAGGACCTCCAAGCGTACGTTGTCTTCCCGCTCTTTGAATCGTGTTATAAGCGCTGGCGCAACCCGGTCATAGAGAGTTCCGTCGTCGAGAAGATCCCCGTTACTCCGCGTGGAGATTAGAGTGTAAAGTACCTTGGCCGCACACCTACGGACCTTCCAGCTTGCGTCCTCGTCGTCATCGTAACCCGTCTCCTCTTCAAAGTCATCGCCTTCGAGCGCGTCTTCTTCGTCGCTTGGCATGTCATCATCGTCCTCATCGTCGTCGTCTTGCGCCAGATTAGGGTCGTACTTGAGGTAGCGGGTCGCGGCTTCGATGGTTTCGTCGGTGTACATGCGCATGTCTTGCGGGCAGGAGGCAAGGAAACCGTCCAAAGCAATAAGGGCGGCTTCGAGCACCTCGTCGATTTCGGGGTCGCGCTCACCCTCGTCGTCTGAGACATCCATCTCCTCGTCTTGCTCCTGTGTGCTCAAGGCGCTCAGGACAAAGGGCGCCAGTGTCTTTAGGTAAGGGCCGAATTTGCGCGGGATCGACCGGGCCATGGAGCCTAAGATAGTAATGTACAGCTTCCGCTTGCTGCGAGTGAGGTGGGGATCGCGCAGAAGTTCGATGACCTTTGAAAGGAAACTGCTCAGAAGCTGGTCCGAGAAGTAACCGGCCAGTACCGAGATGGCAGTGACGGACTTCTTCTTCATCATGGAGCTAGCCCGGTCGTTCTCGAGGATGGCGAAGGTGATCTGCTGCAAAGCCTGGATTTCTACATCCTGCAACATAGGACCAAAGCACTTGGCGACTTCGATGAGAACATCAAGAGCGTTGCTGTCCGAACCCTTCTCCAGGTCTGACTCCAACATGCCCTTAGGCGGTTGTGTCAGGCCCTGTTGTGCTGGTTGTATAACATTGTATCCGATCAGACGCGGTATCAGGACCCTGCTGATGGCGCTGTATGCATCTTGTACCGACTTGCTGCGCGCAGCACCGGTGGTAGGACGGGGAAGGGTTATGACGACTTCGCGGAGGGCCATAGCGGGTATAGACTGGTCGACCGTGTTGCCAGTGGGAAGCGTAGAGAGCTTGTCAATCATGACAGGCAGCGTCTTATCGCTGATCTTGTTGACGAAAGGGCCCAAACACTTGATGGCCTGGTTCTGGACCTCGCCGTTGGTGTCGACCAGTGTTGTGAGGAGACCCTCGACCGTCTTGGCCGAGACGACATCATCGTGGAGGAGGAGGCCGGGGTGAGCTATAAGGAGGATGTCGTGCAGGTCGCTCAGGGCCATGAAGCGGAAATCGGGGTCATCGTCGGCGAAGCGGGGGAGCAGCTGGGCGACATTATGGGAGGTGGGGTTGGGCGGGACCGAAGAGGGCGCCATGGCTGGTGTTTAGAAGGCCTGCAGCACTTCGCGCGTCTGGTATCACAGATGTGAGCCCGCAGTCTGGGGCGCGTGTGGTGTGGCGGGGCAGCTTTGGCGGGGTTGACGGTGCTGTACAGCTTCAAAGTCGCGGTGGGGAGCGGAAGGGAGGGAGAGAAAGGAAAAAGCCTGTGAGGGAGCTGCAGTTTTAGTATGCGAGGGAGGCACCAGTGGCCGGGTTGGAGGAGCTTTTGGACAATTGTTGCCTGCGTCGCTTTCAGAGCTCCAACCCGCGCACGGCCTCTATGCAATTACAGGGTATCCAAGAGCTGCTCCAAACGCGTAAACACCTTGAACAAGGGAAAACTAAACACCCTAGAGCCTACATCAAGATCAAGCTGTGCAAAGTAGAGACCTGACGTCAACGTAGGCTCTATAGTGTTCAGCTTTTCCCTTGTATCAGGTGTGAGCAGATGGCATTGTTTTCACATAATTTCTTTCATTCACAAAGCATGATGAAACACTCTTACGCGAGCTCTACGAATAATAATTTGATACTACATGTACAATCGTTACGCGATGGCTCTGCAGCCTCGCGCAGGTTCGCGAGTCTTCGAGGTCGGGCACACGTGATGCAAGAACGCGGAGCTAGACCTCGGAAGCAGGGGCCACAATGTGACGTACCGATAATTCTGACTGACGTGATCTTCTCTTGCGCGCATCCCAACTCCGAGTCTGCCATCAATTGCCCGTCGCGAGCTTCAATTCGTCTCTCTACAGCTTCACCATGTCTTTCATCAGGTCTTCTGCTCTCCGCGCTTCTTCATTGGCACGCGCAGCTCGCCCGGCGAGGTCTATCCGCGCTGCCGAGCTCCAGCCATGGCAACGAGCTGTCCAACGCCGGACCTACGCCAGCGGCCACGGTCCCGAGGGCGAGGCTAAGAGCAGCGATATCCCATGGTATGTCAATTCCATTTCGATTATTCAGATGAGCGCGAATGCGGATATAGCGTGTTACCATTGAGAAGCACACAGCCCTTGAATTGAGTAGTTGGGTGTGTGGAAGTGCTATTCCGCTTGCGTAAAGCAGCCAAGCTGTGTACACATTGTATCAATTTCTATAAAATACCTGATACTGACCGAGATATCCAGGATGGCCTCAGCCGTCGTCGGCACCGGTGTTGGCCTCTACATTGTCCTAACCCAAGACACGAACCACGGCGCTGAACACCACCCTCTTGGCGACCCACACGGCGAGGGAGGTGCCGAGAAGACTGGTACCGGATCTACCGTCGGAGAAGAGAACAAGGATGATGAGCCCGAGGAGGAATCTAAGGACGAGTCTAAGGACGAATCCAAGGATGAGTCTGAGGAGAAGCCAAAGAGCGATCAGCAGAACCCGGAGAAGCCTACCAAGGAGAACAGCGAGGAGAAGGACAGCCAATCTCCTGACGTGTCCGACAAGGTCGGTGTATGAACATCTTCATTGCGCACAGGATGCTAACTAGTACAGCCCGACCCCCGCAAGGACGAGACCAAGAGCCAGAACGAGATGTCCGGCAAGCAAAAGGGACTCTCCAACGACAACACCCACCACACCTCGCAGATCTCCAAGCAGGAAGAGAAGAGCAAAAAGGGCGAGGGCGTTGCCGAAACCGCTAAGCTGCAAGGAACCGTCTCTACTGAGCGTCCAGGCGCGGAGAACAAGGAGGAGCGTGGAAAGGCCCAGCAGGACAAGGACGCATAGATCATACCCTTATCTCGTCCCGGCCCTCACTATCTCGATTCATATAATACCTTTACGGCGAGCGCGCATTCCGCCGCCCTTGTATAGTCCTGAATCAAACTTGTCACCACTTCAAACGTGACTTTTGTGTGTCTCACCTGCGAAGGTACATGTGGAGTTCCAAGCACAGTGTCTTTATCCACGTGCCCGGTGCTGTCATGGCATTGCAATCGTAGGACATGGCTCGATCGCGTTGAAACACGTGAACAATCCTGGACCCGCAGCTTCTGCGCCACCGGGCTGTGCTCGTTGTTTTTCAAACTGCGGCGTTTTCCAATTATGAGGAGCCTTTGTCCGGATGCAAGAGAAGGGCCATAAATGCGACCCAGGAACGGTGGCCGAAAACGCGTAGTGGAGGGGAGGGCCTCGTGATTGGTCTGCAGGTTGGGGCCGAGCCACCCGTAAGCGCCGACCGACTCGCTCCACAACGTTGTCACACCTCACCTCCAACCTCAATTGGCCAAGCCCGCGCCTCACTGCAAGTCTAAAAAGAGAGCCATCTTACGGCGGGAGCTCTACGAATCTGCGTCCACTATGCTGCTCGCCTACGCCATAGAGCATGGCCAAGAGCCAACCGGAGCGATAGGCGGCTCTGATGCAGGGCTGCCTTTCTTTGGACCTCGTACTTGTGCATGTACCTGACGTGCAGCCCTTTGACCTGATATCAGACCTCCTAGCCCCCAGCTTGAACCCACCCATATTCCAGCTCACCTCCAACAGCTCATAACGACTGTGCCACCGGATGCTCCCGCTGACTCTACACTCTGAGTAAACACCGGTTTCACATACGATAGAGCACGCAACTCGTCTTCCCTATTAGAAGTACCTCGTTGCAAGAATACTTCCCTTGAGGACAATCGCGCATCATGGATCCCCGGCAGCATGGACAGAACCAGCAGCTCCAGCCTCAAATGACTTCCCAGCAGCACAACAGGTTCTCATGGCAGCAACCTCTCGAGGATGATGCCCCGGCCTATACACAGCCGCAACAGCAAGCACCACAGCATCAGCTTCAGCAGTACCAACAACCTCAGCAATACCAGCAGCCGGCACAGCCTCAGCAACCTCAGCGGCCTCAACAACCTCAAGTCAACACAGATTCATCACGGCACTTCTCGTATGCGCAGACACCCGCAGAAATGCGTGCTTTCGTATACACATCTTCGCCGAATGATCCACCCATGCCACATTCCATGCCCATCTCACTACCGACATCGCCAGTGGGATACACGCCGATCGACCCTCGCCCCCAATCGATGCTTGACGCGCAGCTCCCGATGATTCCGCCCCAATCGCAAACAGCTTACATGCCGCCGTCTTACGCGCATGACGTTAAACCCCCCGTCTCGCCCAACTCGCCTCAGCATGCTCCGCAAGCGCAACACTTTTCCCCAGTTTCGCCAATACCACAACCAGAACCTGTTCATCAGATACCACAGGTTGAGACACAGCAGAGCAGGCACGCTCGGCAGATGAGCAACCTGTCACCCATCAACACGAACATCCGGACGTATGCCATGCCGCCCATCCCTCCTACGCCCCCGTCGGGCACACATCAAACCTCGCCGCTACCGCACAAGACACCAATGACGCCCATCTCCGCCAACTCGATGCACAAAGAGCAGCCACGAGACAATCCAACCTCCCCCACGCTCCGAACCTCGCCGTATCCGAACGAGCCCTATTCACCACATGGTTTCTCGAACCAGAACAGCAACTTCCACGCCGTATTCTCCCCAGACGCCGCACACGGCCCCAACGGCCTAGATTTTGCTGCACACCAGCCAGGCCAGATATCGCACCCAAACATGGAGCTAGAGAAATCACACGAATGGTCAAACGGCATCTGCGCATGCAGCCCCGACCCTTCAACCTGCCTGACAGGCCTTTTCTGCCCTTGCGTCCTTTACGGCCGCACTTCGTACCGCTTGTCCCAGAAATCCGCGAAGAAAGATCCCACGGATATGCTTGGTCACAGCTCCACGAACGGACACTGCATGGTCATGGGTCTCTCGTGTGGACTGTGGTGGCTTTTCCCTATGCTGCAGCGGACACGTATTCGGCGCGCGTATAAACTAGAAGGCAGTTTTGGGAGCGATCTGCTCAAGGGATGCTGCTGCTGTTGCTGTGTTACTGTGCAGAACGAGAGGGAGGTCAAGCATAGAGAGGAGGTTAGTAGACGGTGGGCTGGGCCGGCGAGCACAGACGCTTATACGAGGACGGGAGGTATGGTGTACAAGCCGCAGCAGTAGATTGGGCATATGGCGTCCGCATGTATAGCTACTTTCATTCAATGATACCCACAATCCTTTTTGTCTCCACGAAAATAGTAGAACAATTCAAGACTGAACGAACATCATTAGCACACCGTCTCTCGCCTGAAGCGAAGCGCAATCTCAACCACATGTTATCTCCAACGTGTCTTTATGGAAGGCAGAACATGAGCACAGTAGTTGATGCCACATCCATAACTCAGCCTTACACACTCCGCAAGTTCTTTGGCTAACGGCCATGGCCCAAAGTACATCACTCAATCCTCAGTCAGATCGATACACTCGGTCTCCCAGATACTCCTCCCAGATGTCATAGTAGGTTTCGATGGCCTTGATGTCTCGCTTCTACCGTTGAGCGTGTGCGCAAGAGCGCGCGAGGTGCTCGAACTGGTTTTGGATGGAGTGTGAGCAGATGGTGAAGGGCCCGATCTCTTCGACGTCTGATCCTGGATGCTTCTGCGTATAGCCTCTTGGACATGGTCTTCTTCCAAGTCTACCAGGTCGACCGCCGCGTTGCTGTGACTAGCAGGCGTCAACGGCGAAGTGGCTGATATTGAAGAGGGCGTGGTAGTCTCCTTTCGAGGTCGACCTCTTTTCTTCTTCGGTGTTGCGTCTGCGTCGTGCTCGGCTTCGCCCGCACTCTTCCGTTTGGGCGGCTGTGTCTTCTTTCCAGACTTTGATCTATCAAGCTCATTCAGTGGCAGAGTGTCTTGCAGTAAGAAGGTAGGGATCTCGCATGTCACACGCTGGTTTGGGTCGAAGCTAGTGTCAGTCTTCCATGGGCGTGTGCTGTAACGACGCTCAAACTCTGCTGGCGTATTTAGAATGGTGACGCCAAATGGCGAGAAACTGAGTTTCTTCTCCAAAGTGGCTAGCTCTTGCTCTTCTTCAGATTTCTTAGCACGTGTATTGGCAAGCTCAATTCCATGTACTAGCTCGCGTGGTAGGGATCTGTTTCGTTCGGAGAGAAAGCGCGAAAGAAGCACGGGACCTATGTGGTCGTAATACTTCTTGCTCCAGAAGTTGAAGTAGATACACGACGTCCGTAATAGTTCCGCTTCGCGGGGTGGCTGGTTGAAGTTCGAGCTGAGCGCCGATGCGTTCCTAAGGAATTCGTCCGTGTTTGTCCTAGGGTTCTTGTACATTTGTAGAATTTCGAATCTCGGAAATGTCTTGGGGATGGCGATGTTGATCGATAGCTTCGCAAGGAACTTTGGTAAGACCCTCTCTCGCCATACGTCGCATTCTTGCTGACTTTTTCTGGAGCATAGGCTGAAACTGAGACTGGCCTTGACGAGCTCCAGTGCGTTCTTCGTACCACAGCCTCTGAGACCTACTTCATCGTAGTCACCACCTGCTAGCATTGCGAACAGTACACACCCTTCTTTCTTCAGATGAACGCCGTCGACTTTCAGGTTTGCTGCTCGGACCACCCTGACTCTTTTATCATCCTTCTTGGTCTTACCGATGTGACGATTGTTGTTCCCCGGCTCTCGTGCCGTTCGAAGCTCTCGGATCCAGAAAGTACAACCGAACATCAGACAGTCTGAATCTTGTGACCATACTGCATCGACCAGATTCAGGATCTGAAGTTTGCAGCATTCCGCCTCAGCTTCCGCGGGAGCGTCAATATGACTGACACCAAGTCCATCTAGGGCCTCTTTTAGCAGAGTGCACGCCTTCTCACTCTTTTTCCGCCCAGCTTCCCTACCGCGCTTGGGAGGAGCATTGGGCCCATCGAACACGAAGACAGGGCGAATGTTGTATGTCAGAAGCTTGCAGACGCGGAAAAAGATGTTTTTCTCAACAGGGTTTGCCGCACTCTCTTCTACATGCTCTTGTCAGCAAGTACATCATGGGTTCAACGAATAGCTACTTACGTGTTCGAATCCAAGCCTCCTGAGCTGCACTGACGTTATGGAACTGCCAGTCTGCTGCATCTATAGCGACCCGAAAGGGTCTTCCATGCTCGTAGTAGCAGTCTTGGGCTAGCTTTGCGAGTGGAATTATCTCTTCACACCCTTCAATAACGTCCCGTAATCTGCCATCGTAAGTTTTTGTCGTGGTTTTTGAGCATAGACGCACTTTGGAATGCCCATAGCGTTGTGTGGGGAAGCCTTGGTCCACGGGTCTAGTTGACTCCAGCTTAATTGCGGGACGAGCCTTAGCGTCGTGCACGCGTCGCGCTGCCAGCGCGAGTACGATGCTTTTTCGATGAGTCCCAGTTTGGGCTCTGTGTTTGAATTTAAGTACTGTTTAAGTCCTGTCTCGGAGATTGGTCGACCCAACAGGTAGGTAAAATGAGCGATGCGGCGCGGTTACGCGACGCGCACGAGGTTATGGGCGTCGACGTGTAACTCTTGAACGAACCCGGCAACGACGCAGTCGATACTTCAGGACCAGGTAAAACGGATGTTTTCTGGATGAAGATGGACGTATCCAACAGATCGAATGACAACGGGGGTATGTGTAGGAAGAGAAGTGTGCTCCAGCCTGGAGTTCCAGCGACGGAAGCTACCAGGTTCTTCATGTCTCAAACGCGAAGTTCCGGAGGTGCCGAACCAAGATTCATCCTGGAAAACGCGGTATCACGTGACCTCGCGGCTGGGCGAACCTCTCGAAGCTCCAGGTCGTCGCCAGCTCGCAACACCGCTCCTAAAATAAAGTCGCCTTCAAACAAAAAAGCCATATCGTGGAGGCGACCAAGATGAGTACTATGATTTCAGTATCGGAATGATAATGAGACTGTTCAGTTATACCTGATTGGCCTCAGTTTCCTTGTCTTAGCGTTCTCTTTCCATCAAGGAGCCCTCAATCAATGAAACGTACAAGTCAAAATCGATTTCCTCACTTCTGACTGATTACTCCCGATATCGAAAAGTGGCATATGTCTCATAGGATACAAGTCAGCCAACAATTGTTCAGATTTGTACACATTTCCAAACACCCCCTCGCATGACTGTCAACGTCTTCATGTTGCCCTCTGCTTGCTCTTTCCGTGCAGCCTATCGACTATCCCATCTTCCACCCTTGAATCCCTCGTCAGGAACAGCCCCGTTAGCCCTACAGGTGCCGCACATATCCGGATACCCGATGGTCCGCCGCACGCGACTGTACCGCGGACACTGCCTTGCGTTGACATCGTCTTCGAGTCGATGACAGCGTATAGTTCGCCTCATGGGGGTATGCTCGTGATTGCAGTCCTTGTACTGGGTCCACCTTTCTTCGCACATGTCGGGAGTAAAAGTTGATGAAGTCCTTGGGTAGAGATGATCTTGTGTATATGGCTTTGCGCACGATGACGTGGGTTTGATGCTTCGGAACGGAGAGATGCTTTTGGTGATATAGTCTTGTAGCGATTGAAGGCTTGTGCTTAGTAGTTTTGGGGAGTTGATAGCAGGAAGATCATACTTTGCGTACTCGAAACTTCTTATATATCGAGGCGGCCAAGAGTCACAACTTTACCAACGAGCTTTCTGTGTCTGTATCTTTGTGAAAATTCCGCTCTGTCCTGTCTGCTGGCAGTAATCGATACTCAGGTAGTACTCCTTTCCAGAGATATGTTCGCAAACACATAAACAGATGTTGGTGTTCATTAGCCAGTGAAGCAGAGCAAGCCCCGAAAAAGAATCTTGTCATCGAGACCAGCGACTGAGGGCGCTTCACTGATTCGTAATACATTGATCGTTATAGCGGTTGATCTATGAGCTGGCAGCCTTGGCTTGTAGCTCCTCGAGTTGCTTTTTGGCCGCCCACTGCTTCTCTACGTTGATCTTTTTCAAGATCTTGTCGGCGCCCTTCTCGATCAAGACCTTGGCAACCTCTTGTCCCATCTCTTCTGCCTCTTCTGAGCTTCGGACTTTGCGGGCTGCCTCGTACTCAACAGACTCCGTGCCATCTACGCTCACCACCATGGCTCTCAACACTAGTTCTTGATCGTCAACATCTGGCTCTTCCTCTTCTACCGCATTTCCGTGGATGTCGTAGTCCTTTGCTGGTTGTGCACCGATAGTGAGGCCCTTGCCACCTCTCCATGATGTCTCAACGCCGATAGGCACGCTGCAGCCCCCCTCCAGAGTGCGTAGTAGCGCTCGCTCAGCCGAGCATGCTCTTGTCGTCCGCTCGCATCGAACACTGCTCAAGATGTCTTTCATAGCTGCATCCTTCTTCCTAATCTCGATTCCTAGAGCACCCTGACCAACCGCATGAAGCATACCTCCGCTCGTACTGCTCAGATACTGTGTGATCCTATTGTCGAGACCCATTCGCTTCAAGCCGGCAGCCGCTAAGATGATAGCTGAGTACGGGGAGTCTTCGGCATCGAGCTTCGCTAGTCTCGTACCGACGTTGCCTCTGAGGTCGGCGAACTTCAAGTGTGGGTATAGCTTCCTCAGTGTGGCAGCTCGTCGTACCGATGACGTACCGATGGTGGCACCTTGCGGGAGGGTAGCTAGCGTCGTCTCCTTGGGCAGGCGTGGGGAGATCAAGAGGGCATCGCGGGGATCTTCACGCTGGAGTATGGCACCAATCTCGAGGTGATCTGGCAGCTGTGTGGGCATGTCTGTTCTACTAGTCAGCCCGATTCGTTCGAGGTTTCAATGCGCGAGCTTCAGAACATACCCTTCAAGCAGTGAACGATGATATCCAGATCGCCCGACTCCAGCATGCTCTCCAATTCGCCCGTCCAAAGACTCTTCGCATTTTCGCCTTGACTCAGTTGCTGCAAGGGTGTAATCTTGTCCCTGTCTCCCTGCACCACTACGGGGCAAATGTTGAAGGTTCGGTCCGGGTACGCATCCTTCAAGCTTCGCTCGACTGCGCGGGCCTGGATCTGGGCGAGTACCGAGTTGCGCGTGCCGATGTTGACAGCCGGGAATTGCGTGCTTGCCGATGTGTTGAGACCTTCCGGGTTTGGGTGAGATGGACCCTGGATGTCGGCTGCTGTTGCGGAGGCCATGGTGAGATGCGTACACGTGGGTAGAGAGGCGTGTTGTCGTGGTGGCTAGGAAAAGATCTGGAGCCCTGGCGGGATGGTGGGGCTCGGCCAACGTCATGTTTACCGCGGCTCGACACTAGCGTCAGGTACACACCAGATGACGGGAATCTTCGGCGCGAACAACCCTGTGACATGTCTTAGAAAGAGAGAAGGTGCGCTGTAATTTGCATACATATGAGAACGACGATGGACAAGAAGGTAATGTCGACTCCAACGTCTTCTACTTTTACTATCAGCTGTAAGTGGAGGTTCAATGGGTTGATGGCACGATTTCCTCTATGATCAATACAAACAGCAGCTTCAAACACGATGTCGTTTGGATTGACGTTGATTGTTATTATTATGATACAGTAAACTTCCTATTTGCCAATCATGCACTACCTAGGTGGGTAGTAAGACGCGATTACTGGTCTCCAGTGTTGTGGATTGAGTTGGGAAGAGCTTCGTGTGTGTCAGAATCGCGTCATTATTGCATTGTATGTAGAACTCTTACCTCGCTCGACAGACTCGGGAACGATCTCTTGGACCTTCTTGGGGACGATTGAGTCCTCGCCGTCGTTCAGAGCATGGGTCTTGCTGGTAGACTGGCTGTTGGGGTTGCTGCCAGTGGGGTGGACCTGTGGCAATGTTAACATGCTTCACTTCGTGGTAGGTAGATATAATCAACTTACACCTTCAGGGAGGCTCTCCTCGAGACCCTTTGGTGCAGCCTCCTGGACCTTCTTGGGGACGGCACTCTGACCAGTGGCGTGCGATGCACCCTGGCCGTGCTCATTGGTGGAAGACATTCTGATGGAAGTTCGTTTGAAGAGATGTGATTGTTGGATGAAGGGTCGGGAAATAGTGCGGAGCTGTGTGGTGAAAGGCATTTTGGGATGGAATTCGAATGGTATTTGAATGATTTCGATGGAGAGCCTGAAGACAGCAGCTTATGTACATGTGGATGGTGATATGACGCGTGTGGTGACACACCCAAGCCGCATCTCACTTGCACTCTATCATGCGCGTCATGAAAGTGCAGTCCATGTTGCTTTTCGTCCGATCACTAGTGGAGTTTCTACAGGATTGTGAGTGACTATCCGTGGCGAAATAACGAAAACGCCCTGCGTAGTTGTCCAGGTACCTCGCTTGGGTAGGTCAGCGGCAAATGATGCGGTCACGACGATACCAAGGACCGGTCCGCGGCGAGCCTCATGGTGCTCACGAAGCTCATGAAGCCACATTGCAACATGGAAACGCGATCGCCGTAGATTTCGACACAGTTAATTGCCTCCGAGGCGCCGACCTCCCAGATCCGAGGAGCTATACGAAAGGACGTTGATGGCGTAGGTGTAACAATCACCCGCGGTCGGTCTCCGAAGGCCCCGATCGCGCTAGTACGGATGCCTTTCCGCGGGCTCGTATTCTCGTATACCCCACAGGCCATCTTACATTGGATCTGAATCTTGCGCACTCCGCCCAATTTACAATCGTCGTCCTTGCCTTTTGTTCTTACCGCCTAGCGTGACCAAGAAGACGTCATCTTTGGCAACTCATTGCACCATTCCAAGGTTGAGTCTACCTGCATTGTGGTCTTCACGGCCGCATAACTCATGTTGCCCAAGTCTTTCATTCGTACATATGTATGATATCCGAGCTTTCAACAATCACAGCTTCGCCTTGACCCAGCTTTGCACCACCTCTTGACTTCCGGTGCCCGAATCGCCCTTATAACCCAAAATTCGCTCCACAACCATCTCTTCGTGGCACGCTTTTGGCGTTACGACGGTAGTGACCAGCCCACCATTGCTGCCAAAGCCCTGCGTGAACTTCTGTGCAAATGCCTCAATGCCATCCTTCAACACCTCGTTATCGCCCGCCCATATTAAAACCTCTTCCACAAAATCGGCAACAGGGCCCCACCACTCCGGAGCTGCGAGAACGGGTTCGCTGTAGAAGTCGCCAGCGAATGGAGAAGAGGAGCCGAGGAAAGCAGTGGCCCAGCGGGAAAGGGTTCGCGCGTCAAACATGTCGCGTTGTGCGTTCGTGACGAACGCTGGCGTGTTGGTCTGTGTCAAAGAGCACCATGGCGAGATGAGAAGCGCGGCATGGATCTTGGATGGAAGTTCCAAAGGCGCAATCTCGGGATGTGGATGTGCGAGGTGCGAAAGCAGACCGAGTATAAGGTTTCCGCCAGCCGAATCGCCGCCCAGAATCAGGTCTGAAGGGTTGCGCCCCTCGACGTGCACGAGATGGTGAAGCAGCTCGACTGCCTGCTTCAACTGGCTGGGATATCGGGCTTCTGGTGCGAGATCGTACGCGAGGAGGAGCGCGGATACGCCGGGACCGAGAGACTTTTGGAAGTCATCGAGCCATAGCATATGGCCTGGTGTGCATGGCATCACATATCCACCGCCTGTTCATGTCAGTGAGATGTCCATCATCCTGGAAAGCGGAGACCGACCATTGAAGTACACAAAGACCTTCTTCGCGCTCCTACTACCCAGCCAATGCGCTTGTGTTCCATTGGGCAGCTTGATGCTATCTGGAACAAACTTGTACTTCTCGGCATGCTGAAGGTACGTAGGCGTGGATGATGCGCCGTTCATGTACCGGTCTTGCGCAAGGTCGAGGTTCCCCAGATTGGTCCGGAACATGGCGAACATGATGTCCTTGAAGTACGTGTTGGAGCCATTCTCGCCTTTGAAGGGTGAGGTAACGGAGCGTTGCAGCGCAGAGCCCACTGCCGAAGATGTTAGTGCTTGCTTTTGACCTGATGATGCAGGCGCGTACTGGCTTTGAGCGTCGCCGAAGCGATGCCCAGCTTGCTTACATTCTGATCTGCCATTGTGTTGTGATGGTGCATGCGATGGCAGCAAGACGCTGCCAGCACCCACAGCAAACTAGCTACCCCATGGCGCGCGTCTGGATCTAGACTCTGGGAGCCGTGCAAGTGCGGAGAGCGTTACCCGACGAGATTCCCGAGGTTCGCGTCCCCCACGCGTGCTGTCCCCGCGATCGATCAGGGCGGCGATCATCCACTAGGCCTGCTCCGGCTTAGCTTGCTGTAGGCAAAACTCATCGCAGCTGCAGTGTCAGGGTCATGACTCGAGGTAGGATTTGTCCATTTCTGTCCTGAGTCGCAACCCACACGCATCCATGATCAGCATGGCGTCGCCGGCGGAGGCAGACACGCCCGAAGGAGCCCCTAGAGACGATGGTTCGGGCGATGGTCAGCCCAACAAAAAGCGCAGGACTGGCCCCAACTCGCGTGGCGTCGCCAACCTCACCCCCGAACAGCTTGCCCGCAAGCGCGCAAATGACCGCGAAGCTCAACGTGCCATCCGTGAGCGCACGAAGAACCAGATCGATCGCCTCAATCAGCGCATCCGGGATTTGGAGAGCCAGCAGCCGTACCATGACCTGCAAGTCGTCCTCCGCGAGAAGGAGGCGGTCCAGGCGGAGAACGGAGACATCAGGAAGAGGCTCGAGAGCGTCCTGAGCATCATTCAGCCTATTGTGCGCGCGACGGGTGGCCTCAATGGTACGATGACTACTCCCAAAGAAGGAACGAATGTTGACAGCAGGTAGAACTGGCAGCTGCTGCCGAGCGATCGCCCCTTCCTATCCACCCTCACCAACAGCGCGACGCGCCTGTGCAACCTACCGAACCACGACAGTACCACATCGCGTCCCACGAGCTATCCACGGCCTCACCTCAGAACGGCGTACATTCTCCAAGCGTGACCGAGGGAGGAAGAGCATGGCTATACCCCAATGACGCGCCAAACAGCCACTTGCGCCGCTACTCCAATGGCAGTCCCGGACCGCATTTCGACCAGTCGCGAACACCCCATCTGCAGTCAGAGATGCCCTTTGATGAGCGTCTAGGCGTAGACTTCATACTCGACAACGGGCAAAGGAGGGCTGTCGATCCAAATCTTCCCCCTCCACAGCAGCCGCGACCCAGCAACGTCAGTAGTAGCCAACATGCCATGTATGCGCCGAGCATGGTCGCCCACCTCACGTTACCTCGCAATCTTCCGGCGACATGCCCTCTGGATGTCATCCTGCTCGACTTTCTGCAAGATCGTCAGAATCGCGCTGCCGAGGGCGTACCCATGAAGACCCTGGTTGGACCACACTACCCCAACTTCACGTCTCTAGCGTATCCCGAGCGCGCAGTAGATGCACACCCCCTGTCAAAGCTCTTTACAGACATTTTGCGCACGTTTCCAGACATCTGCGGCAGGCCGGAACAGGTTGCGATAGTATTCATCATGTTCCTGATCATGCGTTGGCAGATCGAACCTACGCAGGAGAACTACGATCGGCTGCCACACTGGGCTACGCCACGACCTTCTCAGCTGTTCACTGCTCACGCGTTATGGATCGATCATCTCCCATGGTATGTACTAATATCCGCTTCTTAACTCGATTGAAAACACATAATGACTGATCTATTCTAGGCCTCGCCTTCGCGACAAACTCGTCGCTGGCCACCCGCCAGTATCCTTCGAGAACTTCTTCATACCCTTCACGACTACCATTTCCCTGAACTGGCCTTATGAGCCCCGCGACTGTCTCCTTCCTGCTTCGAAAGTCCATACCTCGGCTCTCTCGACGACCTCCTCCGTCTCGGTCTCATCGCCTTTCTCCACACATGTCAACGCCGGCTCGCCGCAAGATCCTTCCACCCCACAGCCTCCTGCGGCGCATACCTCCGCCGGTATCACATCCATGGGTCCGCTACCCAAGGAAGACGATCAGTGGCTTATCAACCCCGCGTTTGAAACGCACCTCCGCGACCTGAATAATTGGACACTGGGCCCAAGCTTCAGAGGCAACTTTCCCGCGTTTGCTGATTGTGTAAAGATCAAGGAAGGCAGGTGACGAGGATTGTAGATGCAAAACGCGCCGCGGTCAGGCGCTGGCGTGCGGGACAGGAAGGTGTTTATTTGGTATTGCATGTATCTTTACTGTATCATTGGTGGGTAATGTGGTGGCTCTATTGTGTATTATCATCCAGCATTGGGTATCGTATCTTTCCAACTGTACACGCTTGGGCATGCATCAAAGGGAGCAGTCGGCTGGCTTGGGGTGGTGGATGCTTGCGACAGGCGATTTAGCATTATATCGGTATCATAACGACGCCACACGAAATCTATACCAACATTGTCTTAAACCCTAGGCTTTTATCTTCGTTGACCCACCAAATTAGCACTACCTACCGCTTCGGGACGACCAGGACAATGTGGGAGAGCATGTGAAGATGAGTGCCCTCTCCACTTTTGCTTAGTAGTGTCCAAACGACTGACCCGGCCAAGTGGCTTGCTTCACTTCTCATTCACACCCACCTACAGTCTCCTCCAACATATCCAATATTGACGACACACCGTCTCCCAACAATGACGTCCATGGTTCGCGATCCCTTACAGCAGCACATGCTCGCCTACCTCGACCCCCGCCGCGGCAGTCTGCCTGCCGACGTCGCCGAGACCATTGCCGGCAAGTCCAAAGCTTTCCAACGAAGACATGAACTAACTGACGGCCTACATGCAGGAAACATCACCTTTCTGATCAAGTACCATGGCGGTCCCAAGATCCTCGCGTCCCAGATCTCAATCACTGTCGTCGATATCCGCAGCCACGATAATAGCGAAGTCGGTCACAAGGCGACTGTATGCATCCACAACGGCCCAGGTGACTTTACGGTCGTAGTCTGGAAGCAAGTCAAATCGGGCCAGAATGTTGTGCAGGCACTCGGAGAGAAGGTGGATAAGGCTGTCAGAGAGATCCTCAAGAACGAGGGGAATGATGGATATGGCGACTTCAAGGACTAGGGATTGTGGGTTCGATGATTGAAAACCGGGTGGGTGGTGACAAGCTTGTACATCAGCCACATGGAGATTGACTACAACCTCGCACTTCCGCGATTGGAAATGGTCGACTTGATTGGGGAGGATAACTGCTAGTCAGTGGGCCGGCTTGTAAAGCAAACTTGCCTTCGGCATCCGCGTCATAAGAATGATACCAGATCCCAAGTCATAGCTCTCAGATAATTCCGCTGTCCCGCACGACCCTCTATGTTTCACTGAGAATATACTACCAGCATTTGATTATGCCGTGACGCAGGCTCTGTCCTTAGCGCAAACACCCCAGGTCCACTCTGCTGCCTACATGGGAGTCTCGTACGTCCAAATCTCTCCACTTTATCCTCCCCACTTTGCAATATACCAATTACGCCGCGACCAATCACCTCATCATGCCAACTGATTCGCTTGAACAGCGACTCTACGATCTCCTACAGCCCTACCGCGAGGAGTGCTACAAGAATGCTCCCAACACCGCACCGGCAATAGAAGAAGAACGCCTGCTTCTCATACTTTGTGGTACGCAGACATTCTACCCGCTTCAACTTCACTTCTACTCAAGCCTGACTCCTTCCCACAGAGAACATATCATTCATCATCCGCCACAACCAGTCTTCGTACGGCAAAATCATCGTTCCAATCGATATCTCTGTCGGCTCTCGCAACTGGTCTACTATCATCAAAGGCGGCGGGGGGATAGCTGGAATGGGAATCTTTGTCAACGGGAACGGATATACACACACCGTCATGCGCTGCTGGGCGAGGAAGGAAGACGGGAAAAGCGTAATCGAGATTCTGACGGAGGAATGTGACAGGGCGTTGGCGAACTTCTTTCCCGAAGTGAAGGTGGAGCCACAATGAGAGCGATGGGCAAGCGCGAAGGCAGTCACTGTGCTAGCGGACTAGAGTGAAGACCGGCGAAGGGAGGGAGGAAGATTTTAAAGCACTATCGGCAATTACATGAGCGGTGAGGGTGAAGACTCGAGCTTTCAGTCTATAATTTCAGTGCAGTCGCGGTGTCTTGGCGTTCTCGTCATTGGTAGTTACCACTTTCCACACCTTTCTCTCCTTCCACAAACACCCGTAGACGATAACCAACCTCCTGACGTCAACTCAAACAAGCCTTCTTGCCAATGTCTTCGCCCCAACCCGCAAACGCGCTCGAACAGCGCATCTACGATCTTATGCGCCCGTTCCGTAACGAATGTTATGAAGCGCCCGACACTGTTGTCGATCAAGTCGCCGCCGCCAGTCGCGCTGTCAAACTCGAGCGCAGGATCCTCGTTCTAGCTCGTACGTCCAAGGCCCATTTGTTTCGCGCTTAGCATTTCAACTGACATGTGATCAGAGAATATCTCATTCCTCGCACACAACAACATTGCGAACACTGAGCAGACGATCAACGCCTCCGATATCTTCGTGGTGATGAGAGGCTGGACGGGAGACGGAGTGGCAAAGACAGGTGGTGCGATTGCCGTTCTTGCACGCTATCCGGAGGGTACTATGGGCGTTGTCAAGGCTACATTTGAGGCTGGTGTCAGTGTCGTTGACGCGTTGTGTACGAAGGTCGACGAGATGCTTGCTGCGAGCTTCTGAAGCATTCAGCGGCAGTTGTGAGCAGAAGGTAGTAATGTTGGCGGGTAAGGAATGATCGGCAAAAGCAGATGGAAGCGTTAGCTCCTCGGTGGTTGAAATTTTACGAGATGTCCACTGTGATAGAACCCAGTACCACCGCTGTCTTACTTGCTCCTTGCAATGTCGTGGAGTTAAGCTCATGTCCCAGCTCCTGACGTGTGACGGGATGGTCTGGTTGCAGTTAAAGTGGGGCTTGCTAGTCTGAGACCCCAAGACATGGCTCAAGCTAGGTGTCTGACTCGTGAGCCTCATCTGAATGGGCTTTCACAATGGGCAGAGTAAATCGCACTATCCAGAATTTCGCGCAAAGCTCCGAACTGAGCGCTCAATGCGTCCTCGCCCACTCTCGATAGAAGTCCAAGCATTCGGCGTTGGCAACACTCGCGCTCGTCTTGACGTTGAGTCCGCAAAGTATCTGCTTGACAGCACCTTCAACCTTTTTGCCGTTGGTAGTGACAGGTATCTCTGGACACTCGTCCACTACAGCTGGGACATGACGGGCACTAAGCGCTTGCTTGATCGTTGTCTTGATCCTTCCGACGAGATCAGTAGAGATCTGACGACCCTCTGCCATCTTGAGAAAGAGCACGACAGTCTCATCCGTATCAGTCTCTCTCCTCCGGCCGATGCAAAGCGCGTCCGCGACGTCTTCGGGGAAATGCTCGAGCACCACATTGTAGATCTCAGCTGATCCGAAGCGTACGCCTGCAGGCTTGAGAATGCCGTCGCTGCGTCCAAGCATCCACAGTCCACCGGTTTCGGGATCGAATCGCACGAAATCGCCGTGATGCCATATTGGCTGATTCTTATCGTTCGTGAACTTGTCAAAGTACGACTTCCGGTACTTTGACTCCCCTTCAGGACCCCAAAATGCCACTGGCTGACAGATGAAGGGCTTGGTGCAGACTAGATCTCCTGGTTCGCCTGACATCGAGACATCGGCACCTGTGTAGTCATACGCAGCGATTGCCATGCCTAGACCGGCGCCTTGGATTTCGCCTTCATAGACGGGTAGAAGTGGGTTGGGTGCACCAAAGAGTGAGATGATGTCTGTACCACCAGTGATACTGCCGAGATTGATGGTTGAAGGGAAGGCGGAATAGACGTAAGAAAATGTGGAAGGAGCGAGTGGCGATCCTGTCGAGTAGATTGCTTCAAGCTTATTCATCGTGAGTCCCGCAGCTGATGGGTCGATCGACTTCTGCTCCAGAATAGAAAGGTACTTTGCGGACGTGCCGAAGTGCGTGATGTCAAACTCGTCTATCAGACGATGCATTGCTAGGTCGTCTGGAACAGATGTCGATGGGTCGGAACTGTCTACGTACCGGAACGGAGAACCGTCATAAAGTACTAATGTAGCGCCCGAGGCGAGCCCACTGACCAGCCAATGCCACATCATCCAAGTACATGTGGTAAAGTAAAAGAGTCGTGAGCTGGGTTTTATCGAGCAGTGAATGATGTGTTCCTTTTTGTGTTGGAGTAGCGTACCGATGGCCCCATGAACGATACATTTGGGTGCACCTGTCGTGCCACTCGAGTAAAGGATATAAACTGGATGGTCTGGCGGCAATTGCTTGAAGGTGAGTTCTGACGTAACCTTCAGTGATGTGAATGTTGCGTAGTCGTAGGCTTTGCCAGATTGTACCGGGATAGAGGTGACGTCGAATTCTACTGAAGATACAGTAGGAAAGATGACGACGGCTTCGAGCGATGGGAGATCCCTGACGATTTCAGTAACCTTGGGAAGTACTGGATGACTCCGACCATTATAGAAGGCCGCATTGTCTGCAAAAAGCAGGGTTGGCTCAATCTGGCGTAGTCGATCGAGAACGGCATGAACGCCAGTGTCTGGGCTTACTGCGGTCCATACGGCCCCCAGCGACGACGCGGCCAACATTGCTACCAACGCGTTGGTGTGGTTTGCAACATAGCCAGCTACTCGATCACCTTCTTTGAGACCAAAATGTATCATGCCGGCCTGACATAGCTTCACTCTATCCCTGAGTTCCTTCCATGTCACTGTTTCGCGTGTAGTCTCTGTAGCGGCGATGACGGCGGGTGATTCGGGGTTGACCTCGGCGGTCGGGAAGAGGAGGTTCTCAGCGAAGTTCAATGTCGCTCCCGAGAAAAAAGCCGGACGGGGAAACATGGCCAATTCTTCATCCACGGCCTATCGTCTATAAGTACAGGCTACATGGATGGGTCTACGATGACTGACTGATGTGAAGGCTCCCTGGTGCCGGACACCCACAAATTGCCACGTTCTTTGCCAGAATTCGTTGATGTTGTCGATGCTCCATTTGTGTAGTTGCGAGTAGTCGAATAGTTGCAGGTCGTGTGTCTTGTTCACTGACTGCAAGAACTGGTACATGGGTGTCGTCTCGGGCGAGGAGTGCTTCCAGAGAAGCTTGGGGCCTGTCGATGTGCCATTGGCACCCTTCGTGCCGTTCATCGCGTCGTGATCGTTATGGTAGGTGTTCTCACCAACCGTAAATACCGAAATCGTGCAAAAATTGAGGTTTGCGGCTATTGCAGGCTCCTAATAATTCTCGACGTAGGTCTCGGTTTCCCCGCGCCCCCATGCGATGTCTGGCAGCGGCAAGTTCCGATACAGTAGCGCATCACGAAAACGTCGCGGTTCCCCACCCCAAATACCACACCACCTCCATCGACTGTGGAGCCATCATCACGTCCGATCCGCGTATTTCCAGTTTGGCATCTATCCTTCCATCGACTCACCAGGCTGCCGATGCGTTGCCTACGTCATCCCAACAAGGCTGTGGGGTCTACGTCGCGCATATGCGCAGGCGTCAACTACGCGCCCAAGCACCCAACCATTTCAGAATACGCGTCGACTTTCAGCAGCCCTCGCAGCTGTATTACAGCCACGCGAACTCAACAGTTTCATCCCCGTTATCCCACAACTACGAAGAACTCGGGCGGGGAAGGCACGCGACATACGGACGCTGCGGTGAGCCCATGAAGGGAAGGACCGGCCAACACTTTCATCTCCGTTTCTTCCATTGCCTCGAGGTCGAGTTTCAGACCTGCGATCGACACTCTGCCTTGGGGCCAAATTCACCGGTCTTCCGGGGTCGTTCGCATCTAAGCTAATGGTGTGTAGAGGACGGCCAGCGCATCCCCCGCCTATCCCTGATGGGGGTAGCGCCTGGTCCTTGCACACTCCTCAGTATCGAGCACCTGCCACTCTATCGTCTGGCCTTCTACGTTTGTTCTTCGATAGTTCGTCTCAGGAGATTGCGAAGCGTACTTGGTATACATCGCTAGTCCTGCGCAAATTGGAGCGTCGATTGCAAACCTCATGGCAAGATTCG